GTAGTTATGAGTAAAAGCGCAAAGTATACTATATTATCATACAGTTTCGGGTCTACATAGTGTTTTCATATCGTTTTTATTATATTTGTAATTTAAAAATGCCGTTTTAAACCGTTGAAATTGTTTTATTGAAACGTACTACGTGCGTAAACTACAGATAATACTTTAAACAAATATTATTGAATCGTAGTTCCTTATTATTATTATTTTATATTTATGATATAAATCAAATAATTACACGGCTTAAAAGATATAATTTTGGAAGACGAATATCAGAGCTTTTAATCCAATATTGGAGGTCAGGCACAATAAAAGTAAAATATATAGTTTTGTCTATGATTTTCTGAATATATAAAGGCAAAATAGGTCGAAAAATATCTTGTCAAGTTGTCATTGTCAACAAGTGATCCCATGCTCGCGCGCTTCTATTATTCTTGTCTTTAAAAACGCTTCTTAGGCAAGAAAAATAAAATCAATTATCTCTAGCCAATTACCTGAAAATGATCCAGAATGATCTACGCGGAGAATTCATTACGCCAGATAAATAACGTGGGCGGCGTGTTAGGGAAAGATTTCTAGTCATCGCCGGATGAATCGTGGCTTGCGGGAAAATGTATTTACGAAAAATGTGATTTTTCTGGGCCATTCGTCGTATACTCATGAATAAACGATTTGTGTCACGCCTGTGTCTCCTGTTTTAAGGATGCGCTATAGTCCAAGAGCTTACACTCTCTCGTTGGTCTACGATTAACAATGTATAGCTTATAATAAATGTCTACATACTTAGTACTATTTTCTGGGAAAAAATACAATAATTTCCTTCTTCTGATTAGATATGTAGTTGTGCTGCAGCAGCAGGCAATGCTGCGGATGCCGGTGTAAGTCTTGCCTGTGTCAAGATGTAAAAAACATAAAGTTGTTAAAAAGTATGTGTTACTATGCTATACATAAAAAATAACGTAGTTTTGTATATGAAGTTATAAAATTAAGGAATTTTTCGCTATATACTTAACTTAACCGTTTTATACGTTTTTTTTACAAAATAGCATATAGAACGATTATGCCGAACTGTGATCAAATCGTGTTTAATTTTGTTTAGAAAATAGTTTTAATACTTTTTTAAATTTTTACCAACGGCACATGACAAATAAAATATTCACGACCGAAGTTTAAATTTCTTTTCCTAGCATTAATAAAATTAAAACAAAAAATAATAATTTTAGTTACATTTAGATTTATATTCAAAATCGCAAACTGTAAGTAAAACAAACCACCTAACTACTTATAGTATATATATCAAATATAAAATTGTGACCATCTCCTAAGCTACATCATCGTTTTTGGCTTGTCATGTCTGAAGTGTGGTAAATATACGACCCTTAGGCTTCCATTCATATTGCTCTGTGTTCTAACAATAATTGCTTTTATAAATTTGATCATTTTTTAAACCGTATCTTGTATGAGATGTTAGTGTTTCTCTTATTTCAACTTCTAAGAAGTATATATTATCATCTATACATAGTATAGATTTAATAATTAGATAAATATAAATCAAATGTTTTTTCTGTATAATAGAAAAATCTTTAACAGAATAAAAATGTAAGTAATAATCGTTATAAATAAATAAATAAATAATCCGTTTATTATCACAAAGTACATAATTTACAATTAAAATAAGTAAAAAAAGCGTAACCTTACAATTAAAAGAATACAAAAAAAAAAAAGTACAATGTTAACTTTGTGCTAAAAGGCATCAAGACTCAGCATGTGCTCAGCAAGGCTTGCTAAGCGCTGATTTTCAGTCTGTCCCTATCAGATAACAAGTAGTACCAAAACATATAAATATTGTGGAAAAGTTGTAAAGAACTTAAAAAACTATAATTATGACTTACATAAGTGGCAGTGCGAATGCAAAACTATTGCGTAAGTAAAAGAATACTAAAGAGAATAAAAGATATTTTCAATGGTTTGTTGTTAAGGTCATATGTACTTAGTCGAGCTAATTTGGAATTTCATTAATATGTCGCGGTACTTTTTTTTAAAAGTACTTTCAACCGTGCATTTCCTTAGTGGAGGAGGTAGACTATTCCAAATTTTGCTCGCTTTTATAGAAAACGCCCCCGTAGTTCCCGAATTATAGTGCTTTTGCACAAGCAACCAGTTGCGCGCGCAATCTCTCGGCTTACGGTCTGACGAAAACCACGCTAACTTTTTTACCAAATACAGAGGTCTTTTAGAAGTGATAAGTTTATGCAGCATCGATGCAAAATGTAGATCCCTCCGGTTTATCATCTTCAGTTTATTATGCTTGTTTAGAAAGGGAGTAATATGTCCACGTCTAGGAACGTCATAGCAGAATCGTGCGCACGCGTTTTGAACTCGTTGTATAGATTGCTGAGTTCTCTTTAAAAGTCTCGGACCATAAACAATATCACAATAGTTGAACAGAGAAAGAACAAGAGCTTCCACTAAAGTTTCACGAACTGATTCAACTAGATTCCGTCTGAGGCCATAGAGTACTTTTAATCTATAAAATGCTCTTTGTATGCACATATTTATGTGTTCTTCATAACGTAATTGATTATCGACTAATAGACCCAAATTCCTTGTTATGTCAACCGTACACAGAGCTTGATTGTCAATAAGGATTTTATTATGATAAATTTTTACTCTTTCTCGCATTTTCCTATTACCAAATAGCATTAATTTAGATTTTTTGGGATTTAGAAGTAAGGAATTCGCCTTAGACCACGTTGAAATTTTTTCTAACTCAATGTTTATTATATTTACAGCTGAATTTACATTGTTAGGGTCGAAAGAATAATACAATTGTGTATCATCTGCGTAAAGATGAATCTTACAAGTAAGAGGAATATTAGATATATCTGAAGAATATATTGCAAATAAAACAGGACCCAATATCGATCCCTGCGGGACGCCATGGTGAACCATTTTGGAAGAAGACAGAAGCTTCTCTCCTTTAATATTGTCTACTTCTACATATTGTTTCCTATTCGATAGGTATGATTTAAACCAAAGGCATGCACTAGAGCTTAATCCATAATAATTTAATTTGGCTAACAAAAGTTCTGTATTGACACAATCAAATGCACGCGTAAAATCTAAGAGTACCAAGTAAGTACATTTTCGAGTGTCTGCCTCCATTAATATGTCATCAGTAATGTGAGACAGTGCCGACGCTGTGCTATGTCCGCCACGAAAACCAGACTGTATCTCGGGTAAAACTTGCGCTTCATGTAAGAATACAGTTAATTGTGAATTTACAACTTTTTCTATTACTTTAGATAAAGTGGGAAGTAAACTGATTGGACGTAAATCCTGGTATTGAACAATATCTTTAGTCTTAGGAATAGGCATCACCCTTGCTAACTTCCATTGATCAGGAAAAACGCTGTTTGTAAGACTTTGATTAATAATATAAGTAATAACATCTAAAGTTCGCGATATAGTCATTTTTAACATCCTAGCTGTAATAAAATCATGCCCATACGAATCTGTTTTAAAATTATTAATTATTTTACTCACATCTTTGGCAGTACACACGCTAAGGTTAAATTCATCTCCGCCATATTTATTACTGCGAAACCACGAAAGAATCTGTCTATCTATTTTAACACCATCAGGTAATTTAACAAAAAAATTATTTATTTCATCTGGTATTGCTAAATGGTCAGGAATATTAAGCCTACATGGATCGTCCAAAACCGTTGTAGCTTTTAAATGTTTCCATAACTTTTTTGAGTCACTTTTATTATTATTAATATAATTGTCAAAATATGCTGTCTTCTCCCGATTAATACTTACTGTGGTATAGTTTCTTAACATTTTGTAATATTTGACGTGACTATCTTTTTTAGTCGCAATAGCCTTTTTACGGGCCATATCTTTCTTCCTAATCATTATCTTAATAACATCTGTGATCCAAGGGTAACTCTTATGCTTGACGGAAATACGAACAAAGGGGGCGTGTTTGTCAAACAGTTGCATAAAAAGATCATTAAATATATTAATCATATTATTAACATTAGATTCCGCGTAGACTAGATCCCAGGGTAAGGCAAACAAATCTCTATTAAACAACTCAAGATCAATATTACGAAAACATCTTGTATAAAAATAATTATCCGCTATTCGAGGCTTCTCTATTTTAAAGTCCGCAAAAACCAAGGCATGGTCACTTAAATCTACATTGTGTATAACATCGACATGTACACACAAATGTGGCACATTGGTTATAATTAAATCTAAAGTAGATTCCTTTGCTTCGGTTATTCTGGTAGGCTTAGTGACTAATTGCTTTAGACTATGTTGTGTTAAAAAATCACTTAACGCTTTAAAATAATTGCAAGTAGAATTAACAAAATGGACATTAAAATCTGACAATATACATATATATTTACAATAGGAAAAACTGGGTAAAGATAAAGACAAGGCATTTAGAGCTTGAGAAACAGTGACAGACTCAGGGCGATAGGCTGAACACACAGCCATTTTTCCACCAGGCAGACTAATTTCTATCCATATTTGCTCAAGCTCTGACTCAGGGTGTAGACGTACCTTAGCTTTTAGGCTCCTTCTTATATAAAATCCTACCCCCCCACCTCTTTTATTTGAGTCACGTGACCTATGCTTAAAAATATATCCAGGCAATGCTGGTGCCATACTCTCTCCCCCTTTTTTAATCCACGTTTCATTAAGAGCTAAAATGTCAAGATTATAGATTTGAATCGATGCGCTCAGTTCTTCTCTTCCTGTGTTTAAAGACCTAACATTCAACAAACCAATTCTCAATAAAACACTATTCTGCTTAACCATTATCATAAACAGCTTTACACACGCTATGCCACGGCTTGCTTAAATGTACACAAAAATTATTTTTCTTTTCAATAGTAAAAATTAAATGAAAACTATAAAAACCTAATGTATTACATATAAAAAACTTATCTTTACAAAAAATGACCAAAAAATGGGAATTAAGTCTATATACATGGATTATTAAGAGGCTGAGATCCAAAAACACTGTTTATATCATCTTCAGTTCTTATAACCTTCACCTTAGACCCCTCGGTCCTCCGAACAAAAACCCTACCATTCTTGACCCAGGTAAATTTCCATTCCAGCTTCTTCGCATTTTCACGCGTTTTTTGCAACAAAAGCCGATTAAATTTAGTTAATCGTTCATTAACATAGATTCTGGGAGCAGTCTGGAGAGATCCAGGGCTTTCAGGAGTATGTCGACGAATCCTAGAACTGTGCAAAATTTCATCACGAAGAGCGCGTCTTGTTAGTCGGACGATTATTGGTCTCGGTCGAAAGTTGTCCTTGTCGCTCCTTCCTGGTCGCCAAACATTGACCGCATCCTCCTCCCTTATAGTGACCCCTATTTTATTGCAGTATAAGAAGAAAGAATGAAAGACATTTTCATTTTTCTGTTCTGGTATTCCATAAATCTCTAAATCATTCGACAAGCATTCCTGTTCTTTATTATTTAATGATATTTTAAGCTCCATTACATTTTTTTCCAGAACTTTCATAGTATCAAAATTCCCCTTCATTTTCTCAACCTCCGTTTCTAGTGAAAGCACACTCTGCTCCATATCGTCCACTTTTTTGACACAGGCCTGTAGTGCTGGTTTTAATTCCGCCATTTCACTCCTAAATGCTTGAATTTCCAAGCGCATGTTACTTATTTCAGTTCTTACGGCACGTAATTCAGTCATGAAATCTGTCGGAATGACCTCGTTTGGGCTACTCGCAAAAGCAGGAGACAAGTCACTATCCTGGCTAGAAGATCCATTTATCAGTGTATGCAGATATTTCCTACAGCACCCTGCTAATAGTTTAGCTTTTTTAGGATCTTTAACTGACTCAACGCACTGCTTATGAAAAATTTTCGGGCATTTATCGCATTTAACAGAGTCATTGCTTGACAAAAATTTACCACACAATTGGCACTGCGCCATCTCTAATGATAATATTTCTGAACGCAGCCTTAACGACAACTCACAATCTGTATCAGTGTCGAAGCGTATATTATCTGTGGTATAGCACTCGATCTGTGGTATTATGATATGTCACAGCTTGAATTCACAATTATTGTTAAAAGTTGCAGGTAGATATAAATTTAATCATTGAATGTGAGAATAACTTTCACAAATTACGTTTTATAGGGCTTACGAAAAACTTTGATAATATTACTTTCTATTTACCAACCTCCGGGCAACAAAATACATTATCACTTAAGTGGTTTTATGCACTTTTTCCACAATATTTTGGTTTTTAAAAGGCACACAATGCTACTCGCGATGACAGCGACAGTACTCATGTAAATGTAAATGTTATGATATCGCCCTACAGACATTTTTTAGCTAGTTAATATTTATTTATTTTACATTCACAAATCCACAGACTGAAACTGAAACGTGGCTTTACATATTTGTGGACAATTTCGTTTTTATCTTTAGGCGGTAGCTGGACGGAATTTAGATATCCCTACTGGCTATTCAATTTCCAGGTGCCTATTCTATAAAAGGTTGAGAAACTTTTGGGAAAAAAATATGTACATGGTTGTGCTGACTGCAGTAATCGATTGTAAGTCGATCGTGAATCGAACCCATGTACTTAATTGTTATCCATATATTGCCTCTAGTGGGCCATTGATTCCCACCAAGATTCAGGTCATAAAATGTTCGTGTTCGTTAACAAAAATTTATGAAATCTTTAATATAATGTATTAAACTCAAATTCATAGCTCATTTTCTACGTTAACCTCTTAGCCTTGAGACTGTAATCTAATCTATCGAATAATGAACGCCCTTAAAAAATGTTTCTTAACAACTATTTCAAAGCGCCTAAATATTACGAATACGTAAAAAGGACAAGCAAATTTTGTAAACATTTTTACACAAACAATTTTCGGCGTCTACGAGCTTTGAATATATTAAACTCGCTAGGGTTGTCACTCGTTAAAAAACTTGATTTTCACAAAATTGTATAAGACTTTTAAATAAAAAACTCTAACGATTTAAAACGCGATATATATTAGTTAAATTTATTTAAAAATTAATTTAACTACGGCGGGCGTTTTTAATGCCTTGCAGCCGTGGTCACGGAGAGGCAGCTGCTGTAAAAAAATATTTAAAATAAGTTTTAACTAATATATACCGCTTTTTAAACCGTTAAAGTGTTTTATTTAAATGTGTACTACTCGCGTAAACTACAGACAGTATTGGCATAGGACTTTCGCTTAGTTACAACATTTCCTGACATGTCTCTTAATAGTGTATTTCACTGTATATTTTTTTCTTAAAAAACAAATAATCTGGTCACTTATGTACGTCCTCAAATTTCATTGGACTTGTGTACCTGTTTTCTTTCCTTTGAATATTACAAGATCCTTAATAAAAGCAAGCAAAGACGCGCCTAGATTAATTAAAAGTCTATTTAGATTTTTAAAAAGTACTCCTGCTCTAACCAATTTGTAGCTTAATTGTCTAATTGTAAGTGTCTTGAGCTACAATGTTCCACGATATCGTCGAATTTTTCAAAGTATTAAATGCACATCGCGAGCAATGTAATTTTCAAACTCAACACTTACGTAAGAATAAAATGCGTGTAAAAATAGTCTGCTTCAAAGTTTGCATAGCCCTAGTAAGTTAGAAGGGCATTTACACTGCATCTAGTAACAAAAGTAAAATGTGATAACTATAATAGTGTATAGGGTATAGTAATTACATAATTTCCTTTATGCTTTTCTAACGGTTAATTTTTTAAACCTATTTCGACAACCCTAACAGCGAGGAAGGGGCAAACGACATGTAAATATTTTACAAGGCCAGCTTTTTTGTGTTGTGGATTACGTCTACATCAGTTACAAGTTTAATTATTTCGTTTATGACCCAGGTACTAATTGAGGGTTGGAGAAATTGAGGTTGGGAAATAAACGTTCGTAACACTGTCTCATCTTTATAACCATACAGAGTGGCGGTTGATCCACTGCCGGCGGAGCGGAGAAAAAGATAACTGTGCTATTTACCGTCTGTCATTGCTTCTCTTAATGCAATTATTATCGGAAAATATGGATATTGATTCGACTGTCGCAATTCTGCCCGGGTCACGAATCACCGCACTACAAAATATGAAAAAGCTTCGAAGTTTTCCTTGATCGCGTCGATTTCAGTCTGTGGATTTCCGAATATCGAAAGCCAAAATAGGCCGACACCGAATCTCGTCGAAAGCTTATATGGCTGGGCATGTTACCTTACATCGTGTGAACAGTATGCTTGTCTGTCCTCCTTTATAATGAAAAAAAAAGATACATGCAACATTGAGTATATTTTAGTTTCTTTTTGCATTATTTAATCTTTTTACCAAGAATATAAGGGTTTAAAATCATAAATATATAATAAATGTCATTTTTAGTGGAATCATATTCGTAACTCTAGTTATAAGCTGAAAAATGGTCCCTCGCTGAATTTGTTAAGCAAACTGAATGAGAGATTTAATAAACGTGAGTTCGCGCCAACCTTACACGAAACTACGAAACGTTTGAAAATTCCCTCTAATTTAGCAACTTATTCAAATGAACTGGGAAAATTATGAGGTGTATATAACGGATCTGCGGGCGCTACTTTTAATTGACTCCGGCGGATTGCGTTACAGAATATTAAAAGTTTCTGAGTGACTTCGACTTCTACCAGTTCGTGATTTGACTTTTTAAATTTCTTAATTGCTTGTTATTCAAACAACTTGTGAGAGGTGCCACCTAAGCCCAATGGATCCAACTAAAGTAGCCCAGTTAACTAAATAAAAGACATGCCATTCCTTCTATTTTGAAAAGACATGGTAGCTCAATTGGTAAGGTCGACAAAACATGGTAGCTCATTTTAGCTCAATTGACTAAATCGGATCGGTGTAGATGTCGGTTGAAGTTGTAAGCACGGGCGGGACTTGAACAATCTACAAGACAATCTAAGATTGAAAAAAATCTTAATAGATTTTAAATTATTATTAACTAAGATTAGTATAGATAAGTTACTAACCCAATTGACAACACTCTCATTAGATAAAAAAATCCATCAATGCGCGAATAGGCTAGTATTACTGCTAGTAAATTTTTGTGTAAACTTAATTATGTTACCTGAAGACTTAATATTATTTCTTTTATTTACAGTAGGCGTGAGTACTTCAGACATAGGGTATGCATATTTCCTTGTCCGATTACTGCACTGAACAGATGCGCCTGAAATAATAATGTTTCACCGAAAATCGAATTCGTTTTTAACGCATGGCCGAATGCTATAGTTTAGTCACTTGTGGGTACATTATTTATCATAAAATGCTTTCACTGTTATGTTGTTAGTGGCCATAACAATAAAATAAAGTTTGCCTGCGATCAATGGCTTCCAAACAATGGCTGACCGATACAAGAGTCGGCAATAATTCACAAAAACCACGCCTCGGCGTTAGAGATGTTTTGAAGATGATATTTATTTGTTTTGGCGATCGTATTTTGTCATTATAACTTTTGATCTTTCCAATGACATAAAAACAATACAACATTTTGTACTGTCTATAATTTATACGGGAAGTTCACATTTAAATAGAACACTTTTAACGGTTTAAAAGGGGTGATTTTGTATTTTCACTATACCCTACGTTTTGAATACTTTACAGCAGCGTAGTTACATTTTTATAATTTTAGCCATCATTGAAAACCTGAATATTAAAATTTTAGTTATTTTTTTTTATAGATATGATAATTTACAGAGAAATCATTTTTCATACATATTTGTTTATCTTGAACCATATTCGCAGCGTACGCATCTGAAACCCACAGAGATGAATAATTTTCCCATTTTTTTGTTATTTCTCGCTGTATCTTCGCTTCTATTAGTCCCAGCGCAATGTCTTATATCCTATACCCTTCCTCGATAAATATTCTAACCAATGCAATTCACTTCGAATCCGTAGTTCCAGAGATTACACAAACAAAAGTAAACAAACAAACTCTTCAGCTTATATTAGTATAGATTATTTAGTTATTAGAAAATTTTACCTTACCTTCTCCTACAAAGTCAAGGTCACGTCAAGTTCAAATATTATTTTAATCTCCATTTATGAATATAACTCTAGAGATGGAAATCTAAAAGAATTTCTCTGAGTGACGTAGAGGAGCTCTATGTTGACAGAAAGGGGACACGACCTGAATCTTGCGGACATTTTTATTAAAAAACTTTTACAGCGCCGTTTTATTTTATAGAATTAGATAACCAATTTTACACTACGCTAGGTGACCTGGGAAATCTAATTATCTGAATCATGAAACAGCATAAAATGTTACAAATACATTATTCATGTATAATAAAGAAATATATTTCTTTTAATTTAGGAATTTTGCTTCCAGCAAATGCTCCAAGCAATTACTTTGTTCGATACATTGAAGGGTTCCGATTCCCGTTTGTGTCATAGTTTTGAAGTAATTGTGTCAGCTTATTTATTTGCGATAGCGATGTTTATTTTAAGAATTAAAATATTTTAATACATTATACAATAAATAATTTAACTACATTTAATATCCAGATCCGTGTTTTAGAAAAATTATAAAACGAAAAATTACACACATATTGGACCCGGTGGGACCCACGACCCGTTGATTATTAGCCTCACTTTACCATAAGACCAACAAAAAAGTATTTTATCTTTCATCAACTAAATCCCGAAACGTCGGGCCGAAGTTAAAAATCATTGGCAAATAAGTTTAACTAATCTATCGCGTTTTAAACCGTTAAAGTGTTTTATTTTAAATGTGTACTACTAGTGTAAACTATAGACAGTACTTAATGCTAGGTATTTTACGTAAGTTTATAAATACACTAGCTGAGTCAGGAACTACGTACGCGTAGAATAGTTACTTCGGTTAAAATTTTTGTTCATAAACTTAAGCTGTTACACACGTCCCGTCGTTCTCACAAAGTTAGACATATATATTGACTGTTTTAAAATCACTTAAAGAGACATCACTCTTACATACATATTTATTGGGTCACTTGAATCGTATTCGCAGCGTACGCAATGGCAGCACAAGGCAATACAAGGAAGAATCATTTTTCCCGTTTTTTCGACAATCCCGCTGTTTCTTCGCTCCTTTTGTTCATAAAAAAAAGACAAAAGAATAGTATTTTAAGCTAAAACATAGCGCATGTTTTACTGCGTTCAGGCATACATACAAACAAACAAACTAAAAGAATGAAAATACGTTACTTTCGCCATTATTATAAAGCAATTTTCATTTTAATTTTCAAGCGATAATTGATTCTTTCTCTTCCTTATGAAAACTTAAATGCCTTAATTTGTTTTACATTTACATTCAACAAGAGCGTTTCCTCATTAGGCCGTTTGTTGTGTGTGGTTTTCTTTTACTAGGAAATGAAACAATTTGCAAAAAATAAAGTAGGAAAACACCTAAAAAAATAATTTGCACTTCAGAAAAAAAAAAAATTGCCTTATTTATTTTACACTTATAACATCAAACCGTAAAACCTATATGGGGTTTATGAAATTATACATTTATATTGTTACATTTCTCTGTACATACAATAAATTATTATACTATGATCATTATTGGGATATACAACATGAATTATTATGGAAAAAAATACATCATTATCATAAATACATTTAACGGTTTAAAACGCTAAATGAATTAGTTAAACTTATTTAAATAAAACACTTTAACGGTTTAAAACGCGATATATTAGTTAAACTTATTTGAAAATGATTTTTAACTTCGGCCCGACGTTTCGGATGCTTTGCAGCAGCCGTGGTCACGGGGAGACTCAAAGCATCCGAAACGTCGGGCCGAAGTTAAAAATCATTTTCAAATAAGTTTAACTAATATATCGCGTTTTAAACCGTTAAAGTGTTTTATTTAAATGTGTACTACTCGCGTAAACTATAGACAGTATTTAGTTAAACTTATTTTAACTGTGGCCCAAGCTTTCAGATGCTTTGCAGCAGCCGTGGTCACGGGAAATAATAATGTGTAAATAAGTTTAACTGTATTTCGCGTTTAAATGCGCAATTTTTTTATTTACATGTGTAGGTCCTATTTACGTAAGCTATAAACAATATCTAGTTACTTAATTTCTTACGATCCATAATGTCTTCTTTTAATTCTTGAACCCGCCACTGTACATATGAAAAAAAAACTTAATAAAGGTGATTTCATTGCATTCTACTTATATTTTAATTTAAAGGTTTCAATCTACACATAAGGTTTTAAAAGATCCAGGTAAACCCAGGTGTTCCTCATTGAACTTATAGGATAGTCTCTTGGACTCGTCCGAAACAGCTGCCTCCATTTTTTTCAGGCGCGCTATGTGCTCTTCAGTGCAGAATTCGTTGACATTTGCTTCTGAAAATTAAAAAAAAATAGAAGTTTTTACTTTGACACGGACATCCTCCATTTTTAGTCTCCCCGTGACCACGGCTGCTGCAAAGCATCCGAAACGTCAAGCCGTAGCTAAAATAATTATTTACTAAGTTACTAATACATTTCGCGTTTTAAACCGTTAAAAGTGTCTTATTTCAATGTTTACTACTCGTGTAAACTACAGATACTATTTAATGTATACAACTCTAAAAACAAAAATGAGATCCATCATAACAGTTTTTACTTTGACTTAAGGGACACCCTCCATCTTTAGCCTCCCCGTGACCACAGCTGCTGCAAAGCATCCGAAACATCGGGCCGTTAAAATATTTTTTTACTAAGTGACTAATACATTTCGCGTTTTAAACCGTTCAAAGTGTTTTATTTCAATTTTTACTACTCGCATGAACGGCAGACAGTACTTAACCATTCTGATTTTTAAAGCACAGGCTATAGTCTGTGGTTTCAAGTTGGAATACAGCTAAAGTTTAGTCGATTCGGGATTCCGTACACTCCAGTTGCAAGACGGTTGCACGTATTACCCTCTTGGGCCGAGCTTACAAATCCAACTTACATCAATGACACTCGACAGCGCTCTGGGGATCTTACTCGACGAAATAGCTACATTTTAATCGAGAATGTATTTGTTATCTGTGTATTCAGCAACTTTTAAAGCTATGGCGGGCTCTTAGTCCTAAGACAACGTATCGCTAATAATAATCAACGGGTCGTGGGTCCAACGTGTTTGTATTGAATTTATAGTGTAAATATTTAACGGTTTAAAACACGAAATATATTAGTTAGAATCGTCGGCTTGTAGTTAAATTGTAAATGATTTGACCAATATATTTCGCTTTTAAAACCGTTGAAAGGGTTTTATTTAAATGTGCACTACCCACGTAAATTCATTATTTTTTGTAATTTATACCGCCTAAATTAAATAACAAAACCTTTTAACGTAATTTATAGAGTCACTTCACAAAGTTGGTGGGGGGAAGTCATTTAAGTCTGCCGTCTCATGCTAAAGGAGTTTGGTGGGTTTTAGCTCTTAAACCTTTACTCCTTCCATGTCCTTGGGACATTTAGAGGTTACCTATATTATATTAAATCTCGAGAGTTTGTTTATTTGTACACAGTAATCTCAGTAACTACTGGTTTGAATTGAAAAAAATGTTTTTGGGTTAGTTGGTCCATTTGTAGAGCAAGGCTTTATGCTATAAAACTGTTCTGTGGACCAATTTCTTATTAGTCCACAGCACAACGTAGAAACAAAGGTTGGAAAAACAGGAAAAAAATATTTATCTTCGAGGGCTTTCGTAGCGTGCTCTGCGAAAACGATTCAAGAAACGAAAAAAACTATGTATGTCAATAATGTTTTTTCTGTAAATGATTTGAAAAAAATGTCGGCGACTGTATATGTAAAGATAGTTTTAAGATTAACTCGTAAAAACGACGCTACGGGACGTGGACGTGGTAACAGCTATAATATTCATAAATCTCCTCGGTTTGTAAAAACAAAATTTTGTTGCCCAAAATTATTATTCAACATGGGCGAAGTCGCCGACATAGCTAGTTAATTACGAAATGTAATTAATTGTTCATTACTCATGTTCTTAAACCGCTGAGAACCTAAAATTAATGTAATATTAAGCTGATTCTAAGGTCATAACTTGTTATCCCTGTGTCCAATAAACAAACTGGTTTTGTAAAAGCTTTTACTTTCGAACATATTTTATTAAAAAATTTGCATAAGGGGACGTAACTGTAATTTTGAAATCGTGAAGTTTAATGTTATGCAAGCGATCTCAATATTTGTACTAATCTCTGCGCAAGAGGTGCATATATCACGAGAATTTGACGATGACGTGTACTCGGCAGCTCAATTGGTTAGAGCAACGGCATGCAACGCTGTGGTTACGAATTCAAGTCCAGTTCGTGTCGTCTGGGGGGGGCCCCCCCCCCCCCCGCCCCCCCCCCCCCCCCCCCCCCCCCCCCCCCTTTTTTTTTTTTTTTTCCCCCCCCCCGGGGGGTGGGGGGGCCCCCCCCCCCCCCCCCCCCCCCCCCCCCCCCCCCCCCCCCCCCCCCGGGGGGGGGGGGGGGGGGGGGGGGGGGGGGGGGGGGGGGGGGGGCGGGGGGGGGGGGGCGCCCCCCCCCCCCCCCCCCCCCCCCCCCCCCCCCCCCCCCCCCCCCCCCCCCCCCCCCCCCCCCCCCCCCCCCCCCCCCCCCCCCCCCCCCCCCCCCCCCCCCCCGGGGGGGGGGGGGGGGGGGGGGGGGGGGGGGGGCGCCCCCCCCCCCCCCCCCCCCCCCCCCCCCCCCCCCCCCCCCCCCCCCCCCCCCCCCCCCCCCCCCCCCCCCCCCCCCCCCCCCCCCCCCCCCCCCCGGGCCCCCCCGGGGGGCGGGGCGGGCCGCCCCCGCGCGCCCCCCCCCCCCCCCCCCCCCCCCCCCCCCCCCCCCCCCCCCCCCCCCCCGTTTGTCAATTTATCTTCGACCACCTCATATTTTCATCAATACTCCCCTTACCCAGTTTGACGCCCATTCCAAGGAGGACCGGAGGAGAGGATCCCTTCACGACTCAGCGAAGGCGAGTCTGCGGTTCGTCTACGCGAGCTCTCGTTCCCGATTGACGTTGTCGGGGACCTCGCCGCTCGCGCCCTGCCGCACCACCCCTATCAAGCGACAACAACACCCGAAGATGACCCACAGGCGGCGGCCCCCCCCCCCCCCCCCCTTCCCCCGGGGGGGGTCCCCCCCCCCCCCCCCCCCCCCCCCCCCCGAGGGCCCCCCCCCCCCCCCCCCCCCCCCCCCCCCCCCCCCCCCCCCCCCCCCCCCCCCCCCCCCCCCCCCCCCCCCCCCCCCCCCCCCCCCCCCCCCCCAGGGCCCGTCCCGGTTCCCCACCCCAGGCCACCCCCCTCCCCTCCCTCCCTCCTCCTCTCCCACCACCATTGAAGAAGAAGAAGCACAGGACACTAGTTTTTTAATCCATTCTCCGACTTCGAAGTAGGGTGTGTCTCTATAAACCCTTCCCCAGCCCTCTCCTACAGATCGTCGGTTTGAATGAGTGTCATCAACATCCCCCTCACCCGAAGCGTGCAGCACCCCGGGCCCGGGGGGGGGGGAGAAAACCCCCCCCCCCCCCCCCCCCCCCCCCCCCCCCCGGCGCCCCCCCCCCCCCGGGGGGGGGGGGGGGGGCCCGCACCCCCCCCCCCCCCCCCCCGGGGGGGGGGGGGGGGGAAAAAGGGCCCCCCCCCCCCGGGGGGGGGGGGGGGAAAAAAAAAAACTTTTTTTTTTTTTTTTTTTTTTTTTTATATTATATTATTTTAAATTATTATTTATACAAAAATCGCTTTCCGCGTGTAAAAAGGTGGGGGCTTTTCTGTGTCTCTTAGATCGACTTATTTACTCATCCAAGTATAATCGAACTTGAGATTCTCTAATAATGAATTGCTAGACATTCAACCATTGATCCACAGAAGTTTATTGCTTACAGCCATATTTGACATTAATGTATGGAAACAATATCTTAAGTGGCTCCGAAAAGTAGAACAGAGATAACTAAATGTTATTTTAAATTATGTATATATGGATATATTTCACTACAAGAGACGATATATTTACATAAATAATAGAATACATAACACTTGTATTAGTAGTGACAAAATAGATATAAAAAATATGATAAAATGATGTATCTTTACTGGCTTACTGATAATATTGAAAATCTATTTTTTTTAATTTTTAAAGCCATCATATACTATCTGCAGTTTAAGGAAGTAGTATACATTTAAATAAAACACTAACTGGTAAAAACGCCATATATATTAGCTAAACTTATTTGAAAATTATTTTAACTTTGGCCCCCGTGGCTCCCCGTGCTTTGCTGCTGCAAAGCACCCAGAACGTCGGGCCGTAGTTAAGAATAATTTTCAAAAAAGTTTTCCTAATATATATCGCGTTCTAAACCGCTAAAATGATTTATTTAAAGCTACGTATAAAAAATAATAAAGTTTACAACTCTAAACCTTACCGCATAACTCTTTCATACTAGTTTCCGTTCCACCAAAATCAACTGGTAGCATTTCCTTGGGTATGTACTGCTGTAGCGTGCTTGGGTCGTCGTGGATCACGATACGTTTCACAAGTTTCTCTGTCAACGCTTGCTTGATTATGGACATCACGAAGTCAAATAATTTGGAGCCGCTGATGATGTGCAAGCGTTTGAGCCGGAAGGCCAGTGCTTCCTGGAATATTGGTAATGGTAAAAGTTGTATACATTGCTTTGGGGTTGAATTTAGCAGAATTTTAACAGTTGAAGTTGGAATAAAGTCTAGTGCCCGTCAAAGACAAAAGTTGAAATATCAAGTGCTTTTTTTACTGACTCCGTAGGAAACTAAGCAGAGGTGAGCTTATTATCAGTTAAACTAATATAACGATTACTTATCAATAAGCAATAATATGTACGTACACAGAAATAATTATAAGATCATTAAATCTAAATATATTCTAATATTATAAAGCTGAAGAGTTTGTTTGTTTGTTTGAACGCGCCGATCTCAGGAACTTTTTGTTAGAATTTAAAAAAAATATGTGTTTGTCAAAGCATATATCGAGAATGGCTTCAGGCTATAAACACCTGCTGCGACCAATAGGAGCGATGAAACGATGGAAAGTGTGGAAATTTGGGAAAATTTGGGAAAATTATTCATCTTTGCAGGTTTCTGTTGCGTGCGCGGCGACAACAAATCAAGATACCCAAAAAATATGTATGAATTAATGATTCTCTGATGATTCTGAGATCTAAAAAAATGTCGCCGAGAATATGTGTTCATCTTTCAAGAGTAACTTGCAAGAACGACAGGATGCAACGGACGTCGGGGGTAACGGCTATTATTTCTAAAGATGAAAAGGAGGAAAATTTAAAAGGCCAAAACAACTAGTTCACAAAGACAATTCCTAAATAAGTTACAGCAAACCGAATTAATATAATGTATGCTTTTATTTACAAAGAAATTGTTACATTTATCTTGCCTGACTAAAACTACTACAATCCTCCGATCACAGAATTACTTAACTTTAAAACGTAAAGTATTTAGATAATAATCTCAATTGACGTTAAACTAAGCCTTTTTAAATATTAAATTATTCTTAAGTCTCACCAGAAAGATAGTAGTGCAGTTCTTCACAGCAATTGGACTTAGCTTTGACACGACACTAAGTGAAAATTGCCTTGTATCAAAAATTACTTCGTAGCCAGCATTATAATCATATTTGAATAGGTATTCTACTATCTGAAACAAGAAAAATCCTTATAAGAGGCTCACTTAACATTCATCCATACAGAAACAAGTAGTTTTTATACTAAATTCAAAATCAATTATATATTTTTAATTACGGCTCGGGCAGGACTTGAAAATAAAGTGTTTCGTGCTAGTACGCTAACTAATTGAGTTACCGAGTCCTACACGTCGTCTCTAATAAAATAAAAAAAATTAAGTCTAGCTCACGCCAATATTACTATTTTAACCAAAACACTTTTAACGGTTTAAAACTCGAAATATATTAGTCACTTTAATGTAATTCTAGTAGGTTCGCAGTTAAAATCAATTTAAAATATGTTTACTAAATATTTCACCGTTAAGAACGTTATATTTTAATAATGCTTCATTTTTCTAATTTAACTATCAGGCCGCGAATGCCACCGATGAAAGCGTCGAAGCGACCTTCTGGGCTATCCCGTGGCTGGTTCTGCTGTGATGAATACTGTAACTTGCTGGTCACCGCTATGCGTTTGATCAACATCGAATGTATAGCTGAACGTTGCTTTAGTATATTTTTTCTTACTTGGCATTTCTGGTAAACAGACACATAATTTACGTGACATCGCGATTTTTCAAGGTTTTACGCTGAAAACCCATTCAGACATTGGATTATATATTTAACTAATGAAATACCTCAAATTCGCTTATTGAAAACCACAACTTAACGTCAATGGATGGTAGAAGTCCACTCATGCACGATCGCAAAAAAGCGTTTCAAACGTGGTGTTAAATAATAAAAATATATTTAAAAAAAAGGTTGTCATAAATGACTTATAATATAGAGGTCGTTTGGTCCATATATAATCGATATTCTTTATTCCTCTGTTATCTATGGTTTGAAATCGGCATTTGTTGTGGTCTTTTGCCAAGTAAGAAAAAATACACTAGACACCAGTATTTTATTCATATCTTTGATAGTAGGAAACAACAGGTCAACCAATTACCAGTAAAACAATGGTCGAGCAATCTACCTACATAATAGTTATAACGTTTTATAATTTTATTGTTTTAGTTGCGTAATGATATTATATGATAACTTCATTTGACCAAGGCGGCGGTTTGAAGTAAAAAAAATCTATAAGAATGAAGAATATAAATAAGTATAAGTAATCATTTTACATTGTTTTCATTCAAATACAAAATGGCGATTGCGCGGTAAATTCAAAACATACGATTTTTATTATCTACTTTGTTTCCACCTTTTAATGTCCTATGCTTGGCTCAGGTCTCTCCTTGCGCACGAGTGGGTTTTAAGAGCCCACAGGATTTAACTCCTTATGACTAATTAGTTGATAAACGATACCCGAAGCATACTCAGTAAAACACGGGGGTATGACCTCTCCTAATTCCAAACTCCGGACCAACATTTCGCCCAACTTAGAATTCGAATCTGGGACTTCTGAATCTGCAGTCGTATCCACTAACCAACTAACCCAATGGAGTATTGAAATAGGAGACAGAGTTGTTTATTTACAAATGGTTAATAAACAAGAGGACCCTTAGTTAAAATAATTCATAAAATAAGTTTAACTTATTGATTTCGCGTTTTAAACCGTTAAAAGTGTTTTACTTTGATGATTGCCACTCATATTTCTTCATAATGGAGCTTATTAACTGAAAAGTTTTTAGACTTTTGTGCCTTTTCAAACCTAGAAGATTATAAAAATCTTTTTACCGATATATAAAATCTGTAATAACCGATGAAGTCAATATAGTCGACGGCTTCAGGGTCATGTACCATTGTTGCTAGTACTCTGTAGTTGTCTTTAGTTGGTTGGGGCAAAACACACGCGTGCCTGAAAATAATACTCAATTAGTCTAAGTACAAAAATTTCATAATATTAAATTTTTTGTCCAACCTATAACCATTTATTTATATAGAGCAAAAATAGGTAAAATTAACTATCTTTGAAAGAAGACACTTTAACACGTCGATATATTCTGGGTCACGGCTGCTGCAAGCAATCGTCGGGCCGTAGTTAAAATGAATTTTAATATATTTCGCGTTGTAAACGGTTAAGGTGTTTTATTTAAAGTCGTACACTACAGACAGTATTTAAATACAATCTCTTGGTATCTTGAACACGAAGTCTTAATATAATAGTAATAGGGTTTATCCCTTTTGGTACGGAACCCAAAAAATTAAAATCAAATTTAAAGTTGCAAAATGCAATGGCAATAATTTAGATTTGATTTTAGTAATAATGAAACCGAAGTCATTTCATTTTAATTACTTAGACAACATATAAGACAAAGAGAAGATTTTGTATTTTTTGTTTTATTTGGGAACATACTGTATACGCCGTATAGCGTGTCGGAGTTTGTTGACCTTGAAATAGGTATTGAACTGTACGTTTGTTCTATATAATAAGTTAATAGCTATCAATTAAAAGGCGATTATAACTATTTCCAAATGTAGTAAGTACCTAAGAATGATAAAACATTTTGTATAATACGTTATATTTTATATATGCTATACTGCATTATGTTATAAAACGTGTGTTCTAGCATTGCGTTAAGCGCCAGAGATTCTAGGTTCGAATCTCGAGGTAACAAAAAATAATAAAACTTTAAGAACCCGTTTGGCCAGGCCACAGAAGAAACCTTTAAGAAAACGTCTCAGGACGTACGGGAGAGAACGGTACGGGGGGCGGAGGGGAATGGGAAGGGGGAGACGAGGAGAAAGGGATGGGACTTTTTATGTAATATGTATTTTCACGCATAAAATATACATACATCCATTTAATCATGCGAGGTAGCTCATTTGTCACGTCAAAGTTCCTTAAGAAGTCGGGCATCATGGTTCGTAATGTGCACAATTTGTCGAGGCGTTTTTTGGCAATCTCAACGGAACCCTTATTAGCTATCAGGAATCGTTCAAGGTAGTCTCTATCTGTAAAGAGTATAACTAGAATATTCTCAGCATTTTATGATAGTAGACGACATCGTTTAAACGAAATCCACAGACTGAAACCGGGTCGGTGATTCGTGACCTAAACTGAATTTGATGTTCCTACCATCAATATCCACAGTTCCATGGAACATTATCAATTGGAGCAAGAAATTTTGGCCCTAGTGGGCATCGAACCCACGACCCGTTGATTGATAGCCATACTTTGCATTACACCAACGAGCCATTATCTACCTATTGAGTTATAGGCAAGAAGATGCTCTGCTGTGTCATCAAATTTTGTACTTAAATTGATCAAGGCTTTCGCAGCTTAAAACGGTTGAATTATGTTCTAGCGAAACAGAATAGTGCTACGGCAAAATCGAACCCGCAATTAAACGATTTAAGTGAAAACTTTAACGGTTTGAAACGCGATATATATTAGTTAAACTTATTCGAAAAATATTTTTAATTTCGGCCCGACGTTTCGGATACTGTGCAGCAGCCGTGGTCACGGTGAGACTAAAGACGGAGCCGTTCCGTCCAAGTTGGCATTTGGCGAATCGTCAATATATATCGCGTTTTAAACCGTTAAAGCGTTTTATTTAATATGTACTACTTGCGTAAACTACAGACAGTGTTCAATTAGACTATATTATCACTTCAATTTTATTACTTTTGAATTCCAAATATAGCTAAACCTATTTGCTTGATAAAACTTTAAAATAATATATTTTGCTTCTATTATACAGAAGCTATAATAAAATTAAGATAATACTTAACCAAAATATTAAAGTAGATGGCAATATAGATAAGATGTGTGGATGGAGCAAAAACGAGAAATTATTTTAACAGTACTTACACACACATAATTTGGCATTCAAAGAGTAAAAATGAATATGTTTATATTAATTTATATATATGTGGAAATTTTACAGCTAGTGCAATACGACAGTTGACAAAATGGATATCAGAAAGCCCATTAAAACTCAAGTAAATTATCCCACATGTGGGACTGATACAAGGCTCCCATTATTGTTAATTCACCCAACGGGCGTTGACAGAAACCATTCTAATTTACGGTTTTAAAACGCATTGGGTGGGGATCAAATCGTGAACACACCATCAACATGGTTCTTCTAATTTGTAAAATGAAAAGTACAACTATGTATTCACTAACTGATTCAGCAAATGTTGTTTTGTTTGCAATTTAATATTATGTCGATACAACTCTAGTTTAATTACTAAAAACGGTTCTTGCGAGTTAATTTTAGAATTTAGACCGTCGCGGATAGTAAGTTATATCATTTAAAAAGGAATAATTCTTTCAAAATATTTTTTTTGGTTTTTTGAACCGTTTTCGCAGCGCACGCAACGGAATGTTTGGCCTCATTTTCACCAAATTTTACAATGCTTTCTCGCTCTTACTGGCCTTTAGTTTCAAACCTTACTCGATAAATGGAATATTCAACACGAAAAAACAAATTCTTTATCTTTAAAATATTAGTATATATTGTAATTGTAACTAATTAAATTGATCGAATTTCCATACAAACTTTCACCCCCCCCCCTTTTTAACCCCTTACAATCCCCTTTTCGCAATAAAAAAGTCTATATTCTTTCGCAGGGTCTAGACCATCTGTGTACCAAATTTAATTCAAATCCGTTCAGTAGTTTTGGCGTGAAAGAGTTACAGATAGACAGAGTTACTTTCGCATTTATAATATTAGTAACGATTTCAAATCAGGTGAACGTCTCGCTATTTTAATCTAAGCGTTTTATTTTCGTGTCTTACCGAATTCTTTCACAGCGAAATGATTTTGCATTTTAATCCAGTCCTCGAAGTGGTCGAGTGCTTGTTCCAGTTTTTTTAAATCATCGAGATTGAAGGCTTTGCGTACTTCGTTCATTTGGTTCGGATTGAATTTGAGGAGCGTACTCGGCGGGAGCTTCTCCATTGTTATCTCATTAAAGTGTACTGAAAATAAAATTGTATATATAATTATAACGGGTTCGTTGGTCTGGGTATAGCTGATGGTTCGTGGTTCGAACCCCACTGGCTGTAACATGTTTCCAATTAATTAGGCTTTCACGGCCATCACATTGTGGTCGTCACGGTTCAGCATATCGTTTTGCCTTCACGACGGCATCATCAAGAGATGTTGTTAGCTCCTCTATTAATCGAAGGATTATTAATTCTTCGAGCAATCGAAAAACAATGATATAATGTTATTGAAACATGTCGGGCAGCGTCTAAATCTGGATATCAAATGGGTGGTTGGAACATCGAGATTCGAAACATCGATTCCATCCGGATCACGAACTACGGTCCACAGATGAAAACGCCGTGAACTTTAACCGCGTTTCAATTTCACTTTACTGAATTTTGAAATATCCAAAGCCAAAATAGGTCAACGGCGTATTTTATTGAAATGATGACTTGAGTTTTTCACATTTTATTGAGTAAAAAAAAATGTAAAAGTTTTTTTTTCGTTTTGTCCAATTTTAGCTTCGGACGGGCAGAGCACAGTAGTATCATTCCATTCCATTAATTTAGGTATCATAAATGGAGGAATCAAGGGAATATGGAAAACATAAAAGCAAAGTGTGTGTCGGCAAAATTGTGTCAAATTATAAAATTTTGCCGAAATTACATTTTGAAATTAGAATAATGTATACCGACAAACCTCATGTTTGCAATTTAATATATAAATGTCTACCTACCATTACCTACTGATTTAGTTTTTTAAAACCTTTTCAAATAAATTTGTACTTAATACACTATACTACTACCGTATGCAGTATCCTTGTTTTCCTTCACCGAAGCGTATATATATGATATTTGATAACAATTATTCAAGCAAAACCTTATAACCTTTGATGCAACTTACACTTCCTTATATAAATGATAATTTTGTCGTTTACTCATAAATTAAACATAGTTGCAACCATAAATTTTATTTGCCCATAATTCTTTTATAACTAAACCGCATACACTATGTATTTTAGTATTTGGTTTATGTTAAAATGTATGTAAATTTAATAGATTTAAAAATATGGACAAATAATAGCAATTAAAATCGACTTTACCAAATGTAAAAATACTATATCTAGTATGTCTAATGTAACTAAAATGTTTATTTTAGTTGTTTAATTAAAAATATATCAAATTTATAGTTCCTGATAAAATATCCACCTGCAGCCGTTTGTGACCCGGACGGAATTTCAAAAATGTCTACCATCCATTTAATAAACAAGAGCTAAGTAAACATGTTTAGTGAATTTAAAAATTAACCAATTGAGCTACCGAGTTGGTAGAGCAACAGCACGGAACGCTGACGATGCCGGTTCAAGTCTTGCCCGAGACGAAAATTTTTTCGATTTTTAAATTATATAGTGCCTTCATGTGCATGTGAGAATATTAAAGTTGTCAAATGTTTAGTGAACTTTGCAAATAGGCTGGTCAAGTGGGAATCGAACCTAAGAATCATTGGTTAGATATAACCAAAATACGATATGTTATCGTATTTTGATTTGAAATTCGCACGTTAATTATTTTTCTTGTCCTTTTGTTATTGTGAATTGAATTAAGGCTTCACTACTTTGTTGGTATATCGCTATGAAACAGTACTTACATTTTTAAACGTTGTATTTGCGCTGGCGTCTTTCTTTCACCGTCCTATGTTGCGACTGAGACTGCAACTAAGTGTCAAGACTCGTTTCTGCTTGTTGAATAAAAATAAAAGCGGAATATGGATTTCTAGAATTGCTAAATATTAAGCTTGTGAGCAATTTATTATTGCGCAACGTAAAAATGTGAGATAATCATTCTTAAAGTGGTATTGTTTATTTTAAGCTCTAAAAATAATCTATATTATAAAACAGAATAATAAACGGGCTAATCTTAGGCACTAGTGGATCAAATTGAAAATTATATTTTTGTGTTGGTTTAGACCATATATTACGGATGACTTTAACATAAGGTTGAAACAAATAGGAGCGAAAAAACAAAAGACTATGTAGAAAAAACGGCTCAAGATAGCCAAAAAATATGTATAAAAATGATTCTTCTTTAAATAATCTAAAACAATTCTTACGATACTATATTTCTATCTTTCAAGTTTAAATCCCAGGAACCGTTTTTATGGGAATCAAATTTCGTCCGATTACTTCATATGCCAGGTCAGCTAGTGTCATATAACACTGGCCATTTTTCACACATAAACTGAAATAATTTTACAAGTACAAATGTTTAAATAAAACACTTTAACCATTTAACACGCGATATATTAGTGAAACTTATTTGAAAATGATTTTTAATACAATTTTTAATAAAACACTTTAACGCACAGACACATCTAAACAGAGAGATAATCTTAAAATTAAGGTGAATTTAAATAAAACACTTTAACGGTTTAAAACGCGATATATTAGTTAAACTTGTTTGAAAATGATTTTTAACTTAGGCCCGACGTTTCGGATGCTTTGCAGCAGCCGTGGTCACGGGAAAACGTTTTAAACCGTTAAAGTGTTTTATTTAAATGTACCTTAATTTTAAGATTATATCTCTCTGTTTAGACTGTCATTTATTAATACTGTACCTTATATTTAGTCTGTGCCATATACCATGTTTGTTTTATGCATGTAGTGCCTACCTTAAATAGGATATGCAGATAGCTTTACTCTTTATATTGTTAATACTATATATTCATACTCTGTAATACCCGCTGGCGGGCCCTTTAAAAAATAAATCTATCTATACTAATATATAAAGTTGAAGAGTTTGTTTGTTTGTTTGAACGCGCTAATCTCAGAAAGTACGGGTTCGAATTGAAAAATCATTCTTGTGTTGGTTAGAGCATTTATCGAGGAAGGTTATAGGCTATAACAAATTGCGATGTGACTAATAGGAGCGATGATACAGCGAGAAATGTGAACTGTAGGTTTCAGATGCGTACGCTGCGAAAACGGTTCAAGATACCTAAAAATTATGTATGAAAAAATGATTTCCCTATAAATGATGTAAAAAACGGTCCGCGACGCTATATGTCTAGCTTTTAAGATAAACTAGCAAGAACTACGGGAAGGGACGCGTTTGATGTTGTGGCTGACAGCTTAAGTTAATAAATATGACGGGGTTTGCAAAAACTTATTTGGACGCACAAAATAACGATTCACGCGGACAAAGTCGCTGGCACATATATTTCTGATGATTTTTTTTTTGTTTCGGTTAGGTCAGGGGTCAGTAGTTTTATAAACAAGTAGAATGTGAAGCAGTCACACAATTAAGTCGGCCTCACATCACAATTAAGATGTCACAACACGCTTACATAGTTAGATTCTACAATGAAGATTTATATATAGGCGATTATAATTACTTAATTGTGTATAATAAACTAGAACTAGACGTATTTGCATTCATTGGTAATTGTAATCTGATAATTAATTGATATTAATCACATGATATTCTGACAAAAGATAAAAGACTTAAGTAAATACTGTCTGTATTTAAATAAAACACTTCAACGGTTTAAAACGCGATATATTAGTTAAACTTGTTTGAAACTAATTTTTAACTTCGGCCCGACGTTTCGATCATTTGCAAATTAGTTTAACTCATATGTCCCTTAAAACGTTGAAGTGTTTTAATTAAATGTGTAATACTGTCTGTAGTTTACGCAAGTAGTAGGGGAGACCGGGGCTGGTTGACTATAGGGGTAGGTAGACTAACTATCCCTTTCTACTCGGGAAACCGGTCGTAGCAGTGGGCCGTTCATGTCGTCATGTATGGGTATTAATATGGAAATGATTTAAACAAACAATTCTTAAATAAAACGCTTCAAATGAAACTTGTTTGAAAATTATTTTATTATGCTTTGCAGCAGACGTGGTCATGGGAGACTAAAGATGGAGGGTGTCTCTGTCGTCAAAGTACAAAAACTGCTACGCTAGCCATCTGGTCCGCCGAAGTTGGTATTTGGCATCCGAAAAATAGGGCCATAGTTAAAATAATTTTCAAACAAGTTTAACTAATATATATCGCGTTTTAAACTGTTAAAATGTTTTATTTAAACACTTAAGTCATTTAAAAAAAGGGTAAATTGAATTCAATTCGATTTATCCTTCTTAAATTATCATAAGTCTACTATAATACAAAACATGAGGTGTTGCCCTGTAAAGGTAATTAAAAACACACTTAGGTGATGGATGATCATGTTATGTATTAGGGAGGTAGGGAGGTGGTAGATGATCATGTTATGTATTAGGGAGGTAGGGAGGTGGTAGGTGATCATGTTATGTATTAGGGAGGTAGGGAGGTCGTAGATGATCATGTTATGTATTAGCTGCTTACTAACAAAAAATATAGTTCAGAATATTTAGGCAAAGCTCTACAAATGTATTTTTGCTATAAATATTTTTGAGACATCAGAAAAGGCTATATTTTAATCGACAAACATTAAAAATATTTAATTATATGAATATTTAATTGTCGCTATTCTTACACACACAAAAGTCTTATTAAAACCAAATAGTTATTAAGTGTAAAAACGACCTTATTTAGCAATAGTTCGTTATCACACATATTCATGAGTTGAAAAGTAATGATCAATGTTACTGAAGAATTGTCTATGCCCTCTACGTATAAATATTAACTACTTCTATAACATTTAAATTCAGGACTGAAAACAAATGAAACAGTTCCTTACCAAAACATTTATTGCATATAAAAACCAAGCAATTTTATACTCGCTTCGTAAAAGATAACTAAAACATATTTTTATTAGGCTTAGGACAAGATAGTCTGGGGTCTTTTCGCAGTCGACCACAGAAGGTATTTTAAGGAAATAGTCTGTGACAACCCTTGATACAAAGACAAAGCTTAACAAGCCTCATTCAAAGACAGCTTTTTTCAATCTTCCAACCAATGTTCTTACTTTCTATCCTAACAACTGTTCTTCTTCTTCCATTTTTTATAGAACAGCAGCAACTCGAAGATCAGTCAACAGTTAGTAATCTGAACGTTCCAGGCAATCCTGCGTATTCCTGATTAAATTTGTCTGTCGGTCTCAAAGATTCATCTGTTCCTGCGCTGTTTATATGTTTGATGTACTCTTTGTGTTCGTCTGTTGATAGGACATCGACCCACTCGTCTGAAACATTGCAGGTTACATATTTGTTGTATTAATTACCACATTCTTTTGCAAGATGACTTTTGCATGATCTTAGGACCGTACTGGACCAGAGTAGCAACTGATGAGGTGCTACTGGAAACAGCAATGGAGGAGGCCTTTGTCAAAAGGCACACCGAAATTAGAGATATTTTATAATGTTAAACAATGTAAACATTCAGTAAATAAAGGCTGTTATTATTATTATTACCAAATTATTGTTATTGTTTTACTGTTGTTAACTTATGTAAGATGTTCATACTTGGAATGAATTGTCGATTATAAAAGTACAAAAAGAAAAGCTATCAAGTACTAAACTTCAAAACTTCGTGGCAGAAGAGACTGAGATTATAATGTACAATGTATTACCTATATTTACCATTAAGTAAAATTGTAATGATAATATTGTATCGCATTCTAGTGATGTGCTAGCATTGATAAATTTAAGGACAGACAGACTTGTTTCATTGTTATAAACATTGCCATTAAATAAAAAATACACACCAAATAATTCTTTCATGGAACGTTCAGTTCCTCCAAAATCAATCGGCAGAACATCCTTTTCTATTATAGCATGTAATTCACTACACGTCTTATGAACATGCATTCTACCAGCTATCTTCGGCTTCAGGACTTGTTTGAATATCGTCAAGAGAGCATCTATTGCTTTGGACTGAGATATGAAGTGGATGCCTTTAATCTTCATTCCGTAGCCATCCTGAAAAATTAATTTTTCTAATCATGACTTTTATAGTACACTTTTCTATCAGGCTGCTGTCGAAACTATTTGTATATTTCAAGAACGATTTTAACCTTAAATACTTATGTTCTATTGATTGATGACACTATTAAAATTAAAGTTTTGTTCATTAAAATAATCTGCTTTGAAAATAGAACAACGCAACATAGTATACCTAATGGGATGTCATATTAATGTCCAATATATGTACTGTATCAAACAAAACTGACGAGATAGTGCCCATCTTTAGTAATAAAAATTAAAACTACTAACAAATTAAGAACAAAGTAACAAATTATATGAACTCCGTTCTTAGTACCTAAATTCCGAGTCTAAAACTCTATCATTCATTGCGAATTTACTTGGAATGCGACACTACAATTTATGAAATGATGGAGTTTTTGTTAATATACTTTAATCTATACTAATATATAAAGCTGAAGAGTCTGTTTGTATGTTTAAACGCGCTAATCTCAGGAACTGCTTAGAATTTAAAATTTCTATTTGCCTTGGTTAAAGCATCTATCGGGGAATAATACGCTATAAAACAACTAATAGGAACAAAGAAAATTGTTCATCTTTGTGGGTTTTCGTTGCGTACGTTACGAAAACGGTTCAATATACCCAAAAATATGTATGAAATGGGAATGAGAAGATGAAAAATTCATCTTTAAATAATCTAAATAAATGTCCGAGACACTATATGTTTCTATATTATTAATGTATAATCCAAATGTTAACTAAGCTATGTTAATAACGACTGGAAGCAACCGTGATCGTGGGCAACAGCTGAAATCTATATAGATGAAAATAAACTTTGATATCAAAAATGACTAGGTATTCTACGCGGACGAAGTCGCGGTCACAGCTAGTCATATATATTCTAGTACATACTGTCATCATACCGAAGTGTTAAATATCTTTATAATATAAATGATACTGTTATAAGAGAAATAATAAAGCCGACAGACGTTAAATTAACTCGCATTTTATTTTCCCTTGCAATTATTGTGTCAATTCAAAATATTAAGTCATAAACGAAATTAGATATATAATTCGAATGAAAATTAAAAATCAGAGGCTAATAAAAGACAAAGGCGAACGAGAAAACCTTGATAAAGTCTTTGTCACTTAAAATTATTGTCACATTTTATTTACAAATTCGCTCGGTGCTTACCTACAAGGTTATCATTTAATTACATTCTATTATTTCTACAATTCTTTTCAAATAGATAATAGAAAAGTACGTATGAAATTTAATCTTGTTGGTATGTATATCCTGTTGTTATGTCCGATAGTAAATAAATTAATTAATGTAGATAGGTAATATTGATAACGTAGTCAAAAATCTGGAGTCCGTAAAGACGTTTTTAAAAATAAATCAATGAGTAATTATTTAACGTGTATTGGATTACATGATTTGCTTAAGACCAAAAACATAGGGACTACAGGCTAGATTACCGGCTTAGAAAGCCGGCCGATAACATGTTCCCCGAACCGCGTACCAATCCTGGGTACAAATAATAAAAAATATATTTATTCCATAATAAAAATCCTTTGAAAACGCCTTTAAAATATTTCTTCTATATTTTTCATCATTTGTTTATTGTTTGTTAATAAGTGTTTGTTGTTTACCATTTGTATAACACATTTAGTGCTTAACTAAAGAAAGCAACACATTATCTTTACCACAAAATGTGATATATAGGCTTAAATGCGATTTACATTCTGACTGTTGTGCCTAATTAACAAATCTCAAACTTTAACTTTTAAATTAAATGTTTTTCCCTCGTAGTTTATCTTAATTTCAAACTAAAATTCTTATTATTATAGATATATAATCTAAATTCTATTCTTGTTACCGTTGTTTCTTATTCTTATTTATTTTCTTTATTATAGAAATAAAATAAATTATACTATTATTAGCGTATTTCTTGTTCTTATATTGAAGAATGTAGAATATATTTAAAAATGGTTTTAATACAACTGGTAATATTATTACAACAGAAATAACTAGCAGGCCACGACCCAGAGAACTTCACATTTAGGGCAACTGTGACCAAAAAATGTCCACAATTGACGGACCCTGGGAAAATAGAGTTTTGTAGCTACACTACGATACTTCAGTAAAGGTGTTTTGGGCCCAAACGTCTTTCGCCAACATTCATATACCAAACACAAACCCTTTGCGTTACTCACCATGAATATAGACATAACTTGTCTTATCTCTAGAATATTGATTTTCGAAATGTAATCCATGAGGTTGCAATCAGTCAAATCCGCGACCATCCTAAAACTTCCAACGTAGTCGTGGTTCTTCGCGTATTCAGCCATCTGCAAAGGTTTTCAGTCAAATCGCGTTTTAAACCGTTAAAGTGTTTTATTTGAATTAAAATATTGTATTAAAAATGTCACTTAGTGGTCAAAAAAAAAAGTAATGAAACTTGTCGGTGGATTATTTAAGGGTTAGTTTTGAGGTAATAATTCTAATTATTCGTTCTTTCTAAATATCTACATATTAATTTTAAAAAAGCCTCCAGTTTAATGGTATAACTATTTTAGTCTTTAGAAATAAGTGTAGAAAAAACAGACTTACATGAAGGCAGAACTTGAAGTATTTCGTGTAAGACGAAGAATTTTCAAAGACACCTATAACCTTGGTAGCAAATACTCTGTAGTGTTCTTTGGTTAGTTTCGGTAGCATTGCTAAATAACTGAAACAATAACACAGTGTAAAAGAAACAGTAGGACATCTATTTCTATATTCTATTCTATATCTATCTTCTGTAAATCTAAAGCTGCATAGCAAAAAACATTGAACCTTAACATACAGCAGTTAAGGTCGAAATTACATTGCGCTAACAGTTCATATATTAATAAATGGTAAAAAGCGACGATGACTTGTAAAACACGGTAGGTATATTGGTTAGAGCAACAGCACGGAAAGCTGTGAATACCGGCTCAAATCCCGCCCATATCTTAAAATGTTGTCATTCTAAAATTAATTTTTAATTTTTGTAATGCTATCATGTGCAAAATAACATTTGAAAATATTAAAGTTTTCAAATATACAATTGAACTAACACGTAATGCCATGCTGTGTCCGTGTAAAATTTGTTGCATTAACGCAAGACGTTCCAGGTACAATTCTCAAAACGTGATTTCGATTTTTTTAATGACAGACAGACAAACATGGGGTCCACTTCATGGTAGTTAAAATACCCCAGCCTATGGCATCTAAACAAGAGGCGCTGTTGACTTCTTTGGCTTCTTTGGGCATTCGGAAATCCACAGACCGAAACGCGATGAAACTTCACGGCTCCTTTATCTATTAACGGTAGTTCGTGACCAGGACTCAATCCATGCCTACCACCCATTTATTATCCAGATTTCCAGACGAAGTCCAACATGTTCCAGAAAAATTATAAACTTATTAGAAAAATGTTGGACTCGGTGGGGATCGAACCCACGGCCGTTGATTAACCGTACATTCCTACCATCACACCAACGAGCCTATCGTTTCTCTTTTACATTCCTGTATGTAAAATCACTTACTTACATAGCTTTCTCCAAATCGACTGCTAGTTCCTTCCTGACGTCGTGCGTGTTGAAGAACTGTGGCATCAAGGTCTTCATGGTGCATACCTTGTCGAATTGCTTCTTAGCTCGTTCTATCGAACCTTTAGTACCGACGATAGCAGTTTCTATGTAGAAGTCAGCTGAAAATTAAAAAAAAAACAATAGCATGACACTTTCTATAGTTTACGCGAGTAGTACACATTTAAATAAAACACTTAGGTTTAAAACGCAATAAATATTAGTTAAACTTATTTTTACCCGACGTTTCGAATGCTTTGCAGCAGCCGTGGTCACCTGGAGACGCAGTCAACTAATATATAGCGCGTTTTAAACCGTTAAAGTGTTTTATTTTAATATTATGACAATTTAATATCCCTTACACCTACCCTCTGAATGAGAGGTTTTCTATTTCTCCTGTACTTGCCTGTTTAGCGATAAGGCTGCCTTTTATATATAACATAGTACGTCACTTTTATATTTTTTGTATATTATAAATAATATAGCTATAATAATAAATATATCAAACAAGAATCATCGCTGTATGTTTTGCTTTGCTTGTTCTTATAAGAGTCTAGCTGAGTCGTATACCATACAGATCTATTAAAGGTGAATCATTCTATCACACTATTTTGTTTTGTTTCTTGAATTGTCTTTGCTCTTAGCGTGTTATATAGTCTAAAGCCTTCCTTGATAGATAGTCTACCAAACACCAATAATATTTTATCAATTCGAGCCAGTAATTCCTGAGATTAGAACGTTTACACTAACAAAGAAATTCTTTAGCTTACAATATAATTATACATTAGGTTTTGAACTATTACTACTCAAACAATAGGGACTTCGCTAAATATTTTTAATGGCGCCTTATTTCAAACCAAAGTCGTATAATTAGTGAACCAAAAACTTTACTTTATTTAAATAATAAAAATATTATATTATTTAATACAATTCGGCTTAGGTTGCTTCGCGATTTCGCTGTGTGATCTCTGTCGTCTCTGCTGTCGTTAAAAATTTCGCATTGCAAACCGTTCAAAATGTTTTGTTTAAATATGTACTACCTGCATGAATTACAGGCAGAGAGCGACTTCTTTACACAATTAAAGAAAACACTTTCATCGATATTAAATGAAATAAATTAATTCGTATACAATTCAACATTTCGGATGTTTAGTTAGTCGTGTTATTTTTACGTTTTAAACAATGGACACTGTTTTATTTAACGTGTTTGAGAATTTAGTTGGACAAAGTGCAAGGGCGGTCCCCAACAAAGCTTCGGGTTGAAATTTTGCTATCGCAGTCCACATTAATTACGATAACATTTAACCCATTGTAATTAGCAATTATCGGTGTCGAACGCTTTGTTAAACATCTGCAGTAATTAAATTTATTTTAATTATCTGTAGATGCGTACACGCGGATAATTGCTATCTTTTGTTTTGCTTTAGTGCATATTATAACGTATCTCTATTTGTCGACGTATCGGTGTTGAATTGTTGTTTTATTATTTCGATAAGACAATTCACTTTCAACCGCTACAATTAAAAATGGGTTCTGATTTGACTTGACGAAATTTCGATATTCCTAGCACTTTCAAACATTTTGGATAATATTGAATATCCAGATGTTTGGACGATTCAGAAAAAATATCAATTGATTTGGGACACATACTGGACTTGATAAGAATCTAACTTAGGAGCCATTGTTTCTTCGCTATATATTTTTGTATAAGTTGAACGAGCTTGTCATCATGGTTCCAAACGCCCCGCGATTTAATACAAAAATAGGTGATTGTTTATATAATATATTTTCAATATTTTCCAATCAACCATAAGAATATAAACAGACATAGTTATATATATATATATGTATATATATACATATATATATCTATATTTATATACATATACATGTATATTTAGATATATACATAATACAACATTACAATCGTAATTTCCATCTCTCACTTATTACAGCTTATCTATTTTTTTGTTTAAATTATTAATTGCTATTAAAGGAATCGACTTTATCTTTTATCTCTAAAATAATTATGACAAGGAAGTATTTTGATAATGTTTTATTGAACTGTATTAAAAATTCCTTTTAACCGACTTTAAACAATGTAGGTTCTTAATTCGATTTGCTTATATTTCTTATTATTCGCCTATAACTTCGTCACTTCGAAACCAATTTTGTTGAAAAGTAGATGTTTCCAAGATAATTTCTATTCAAGAAAATCAGCATGCGATGATCTCAAACCAGATAAATCGATGGAACCTATTAAAGAGCATAGTAACGATATTTTTTTCATTCAGAAGTTTAAAGCAATAAAATTATTTTAAGAGTTTGGAGTAGGTCTGATGATGGAGCCGAGAGACAGTCGAAGAACTGCTCTACGATTCACAGCAGGTACCTTATTTTTGAGCTCAAATTATTTGAGGAGCACGGTCTCTCTGTAGCCACATGGTTAAAAGTATTGCCTAGCATTGCGTAAAGCGCGAGAGGTCCTGGGTTCGAATCATAGGGAAACATAAAATTGTTTCGGTCGGGCAGGGCAAAGAAGTCTGATCAACTACTTGCCCGTTAAAGAACGAATTAGTGAAACGGACACAGAAATGTGTTCGCCCCTTGCGCCACGAGGGGGAAACGTGCTTTCACACACATTCGTTACGTACAATAATAACATAAAATATTTTATCATTAATTAATATAACAGACTGCTAAAAACTGTAAATATGAATAAATTATAATAAATAATTACATATATGTATAACTTTCAAATTTAAATTTGAAACCATTTTTAGCTGCCTACTGATTGCTTGTAACGCTCAGCAATGCTGGTTTTCAGACTGGCCCGGGTATAGTTGGAGAAAAGTGAAGTTTATAAGATGAATTGGTGCCCCTAGAGGCAGAGTAGCCTAACTGTAATTTTATTGTGTTATTTATATTTTCATTCTATACAAATTTTAATCTACAACAGCACAAAGACCGAATATTGTTAACATATTGATAATATTTTTTGTTATTAGCCTGTCCCTGGCAGCCTTAATTTAAATAACATAAAGTCTAGGATTGATAGTACATAAAACCATAACATACACATAATTATGGTTACTTATAGGCTGACATTTGCAAGTGACAAAAGAAGATCGAATTAACTTACGAAAATCCTTCTTTATAAAGTGAGGTTGTTGTTTTATCCATTCCTTCAAAATGTTGACAGCTCGTTTCATTTCACCTGGCTTTTCCAGATTAATCTCCTTACGAACCTAGAAAAAAAAAAACAATTCTTACGGCTCTAACAGACACTCTAACTACAGTACCGTATGTAGTTTACGCGAGTACACGTTCAAATGACCACTTTTAACAGTTTAAAACGCGAAATATATCAGTTAACTTTTATACAATTTATTTTATATTCGGCCTGACGTTTCGGATGCTTCGCAACCGCGTCCCCCCGACCATGTTTGCAATAACTAAGTTAAGAAATATATTTCGCGTTTTAAACCATTAAAGGGGTTTAATTAAAAACGAAATAAATAATAACCAATCTTAAATGCTTAAATAATACTGTTTAGTAACTTCGTTCGAACTTTGTTAATACAACTTCCAATAAAGTAAAATTCCTTGAGTGATCTGAATGCATATCAATACCTACAAAGAAAAAACGATGGCAATACCTATTTTACCTGAAAAGTACCTAGCATAGAGAATGTACCTCAACTTCTTTGTTAAGCTAATTGTTCTTAAACAATGCTCGAGCATTAAGCATATGATATGAGTTTTTATATGGGCAGTTTTCTCTAAATATATTTTAAAAATACGTTATAACTTGCATAAAACAATTTATTTACGGCACAGCCGATAAATTATGTATCAGAAAGTTTTGACTTTTAGCTTCAGGAATAATAAAATTGTTTCGTTACTATGTTTATAAGGTAAATTTATCATATATGTCTGACCTGATACAGAGTATCTGGATACAGTTGCAAAATCCTGTCCTTCGGAATTACTTCCATTGTTGAGCTTGCTCGTACGTCGTTCACACAGTGCGGTTCTTCCTTGACTTAACTGATAATTTTTTGCATTTATTCACAGAGCGAAGGGCCGAGTACCGAGAATATATAATCGATTAATATATATGTAGATATTTATAGATTACGTTTCTATTATAGATAGACGGGGCGTGATAATTTTGCATAGTAATTATTTTAAATACTCTATAGTTTACGCGAGTAGTACACATTTAAATAAAACACTTTAACGGTTTAAAACGACGTCGGGCCGAAGTTAAAAATATAAAGTAATAATAAAGTGTTTTATTGGGAAATTAGAAGGAATTGAATTCTCACTCTCTCCCTTTTTTTGTTACAGGCATTTACGAACTAAAAACTTTATATTTCCAAATCGACGATCTACTTTCCTATGTAACACTGATTTTAAACTGTTTTAAATTCTGATACCTTCAGTTAGCACATAACACGATTGTATTTTTATATTTTATAATAAACTAAAGACGACGTTTGTTCGGCTGAAAATGACACAGATATGATAACGATATATCTATATGACTACGAAGTGGATAGTGGTGATCATATAGTAGATAGCGCAGTGCAACTCATAGTTTTTATCGATTTTCATATAAAGGTCGAAGTCGAAAATGTTATAAGCTAGCTTAATATTTTGGCAACATCTAGCTAATTAGTAATGGAATATACTGAATGAATATTTCAGCTTCTTTTATGTTAAGCCATTTATAGAGTTTGCTAATTAGAAATGTGATTACAAAGGATAAAAAAAATTAAGTAAACGCTATTTGTATCTTATTTCTGTGTTACTATTTATTTTTTTATACTATCTATAGTTTATATGTAAATAAAACACTTTAACTGTTTCAAACGCGATATATATTAGGTGCGGTAACCCAATATATACGGCTGCTGAAACGTCGGGCATAATTTTCATATAAGTCTAACGTATATATATCGCGTCTTAAACCGTTGAAGTGTTTTATCTAAATTTATTGTTGTTAAAAACTTAGTTAAGTACGATAATCCTATATTTTGAATTTATTATCGCTTAAACAATTCTATTATTTTATGCGCTTTGCAATAAAAACAGAAAGGTCAATGACCACGAACTAAAAAGGGCTTTATTATATGAAATATGAAGATATGATGAGAACTGGGGAAATAGATTTCGATAGATTAGTTTGACACCATCTTACTTAAAATGCACACATACACTTAATTTAAACAACTTAGTTAACCTTTGTTATTGGTTAGCCCTGGGTCCTATTATAATTCCGGTTAAATATGATATACAAAATGGTCGAGTATTACACATATGTCTATGATAAAATTGATAAATAAATAAGTTAAATAACAATATAACAATATCAAAAAAAGAGAAACAGACACCCCATGTCTATGTCCATGACTATGTATATGAATGTGTAATACGTCTGCCATATATGTTATACATATATATAGTACCTATGCTTACACGTCATGCAATTAAACATTTCACTTTATTATTCGGATGCCTACAGCCGGGGAGGGTCACATTATTGCACAGACAATAAATTAATTCAACTTGCATTGTCTAGATTACAGGACTTATTTTGCACAGACTGCATTTTTTGTAAATGTCATGCAAACACAATAAAATAAAACACTAGTCTACTCGAGTTACAGTTCATTAAAACGATTTGACATTTAGTTACCGCGTGCCTTTTATTGTTAAAATTTCAATATTACATTAAAAATAGTAATGGAATGTATTCTGCGCACACGCATTTTTTATAACACCAATACAAGAGTATCATTCTTTATAAAGACATTTCCTTATTAATATACGAATATTATAATAAACCAACGTTTTAAAAAATGTTAAATAAAAAAATAAATTCAGCTACTTCCTCAGTGTTATGACATAATATGGCATACTACTATACACACATTCAGTAACACTGACATACATTCAATGTTGGCAGCTTACCACACTTTGTGTTGCAAAAAAGGGCGGTCCGGGCTAACTATATTAAAAGCAAATTTAGCAAGAATAGTGATAGACATCATTTGAACTTACAAAATAAGTACGGTCTAGATATTAGTTAAATTATTTGAAAATGATTTATAACTTCGGCCCGACGTTTCGGATGCTTTGCAGCAGCCGTAGTCACGGGGGAGACTTAATTTCAAATAAGTTTAACTAATATATCGCGTTTTAAAACGGTTAACGTTTTTATTTAAAAAATAAGGAGAAACTAGCTATCCCCAAATATAATCTATAAATATAAGCTCCATAATTCTAATTGATTTGCGCTGAATTGTATTAATATGTTTATACATTGCCAGTTGAGGTTTCAAATTTATCGATAAATAAATTTTAAAAAGTTATTAAATTTAGATTGTCTCAAAAAGCATATTTTAATTGCTCCTTAGGTTAAATTCACAACAATATATTAGTTTAGCATATCATTGTCATTCGGCCTGTTCGGCTGACGTGAGCGAGAAGAGGTTTATTAAGCCGGGGTCATGGGGGACGATGTTCGTCACGTAGTCGGGCTGTAGTTAAAATGAAATCAAAATAACAAATATATTTTACGAATAAAACCGTTTATAGTGTTTTATTTAAATGTGTACTACTCGCGTAAACTAGAGACATCACTTGAAAACTATTTTGACACATTATTGCACAGGGGAGTATAAGTTCAAAATATATTTAGTTTAAAAAAACAATGAACGTATTTGGTTAGAGCCCCAACACAGAATGCTGTTGATGGCAGTTCAAATGCCGCGTATGTCACCATTTTTTTTTAAATCTAAATCTATTTTAAAATAAACGCCGAGAAATTTATGAATGCAAATATTTATTTACAAAAATTGCTACGTACATTTTATTGTACAGTAAGTACATTTTTATATATACGCTACAAATGTATAAATGTATTTTATAAATTAAATCAATTCATAATTTATTTATTTTTATACATAATTTTGTAAATATTTTAATATTATACCAGTATCACAATTATTCTCTAAAATATTGAATCAAATTTTCCCATTAAACCTTGGTCGTACTTTAAGTGCCAGGAATTTTTTTCTCCCATATTTAAAGTAGCTATATAAAATAGGCGTGAAAATTATACCATATTTTAATCTACACTCAGTACTCTAAATGTTCCTGGCATGCCAGCGTATTCCTCATTGAACTTATGCCTGGGTCGGCAGTTCTCATCAGTTGTTGCCTTGTTCATTTCCCGCAAGTAGTCCAAAAACTTCGATGCATATAAAACTTCTGTCCAACGCGCTGTAACAATATATTTTCTTTAATATACATAAGAAGTGGTAGGAATCGAACTCATAGCCCACAGAGTATAATACTGCTCGATGGTCTAACTGAGGCGCCATTTTGGTTTTCGCAACCCACCTGTGTGATGAGGCACAAGAGCGTACGCTGCGAAAACTGTTCAAGATACCCAAAACATATGCATGGAAGGATAACACTATGGTTATCTAAATACTGTCTATAGTTTACGCGAGTAGTACACATTTAAATAAAACACTTTATCGGTTTAAAACGCGATGTATTAGTTAAACTTATTTAAAAATGATTTTTAACTTCGGTCCGACGTTTCTGATGCTTTGCAGCAACCGTGGTCACGGGGAGAAGTTAAAAATAATTTTCAAATAAGTTTTACTAGTATATCGCGTTTTAAATCGTTAAAGTGTTTTATTTAACTATGCTTATCTTTTAAAATTAACTTGCAAGATCGACGGGACGCGACCGACGTCGTGGATAAGATGGTAATAGGTGAAGGTTTGCGAAACGGATTTTTAGAAAACGGTTAAACGGTAGAAGTTTGGATGCCCAGAATATTCTACGCGGACAAAGGCGCTAATACGCTAGTTAATGATATAATGTCATATATGTTAGTAAGTCTAACCGCCTTGGTTTGTGGGGCACTGGACACAGTTACGTCTTACCTCGAGTTTCCTTTATAGTTGGTTCCGTTCCACCCAAGTCTTCAGGTAGATATTCTTTCCCAATTGCTTCAACTAAAGAAGAGCAGTCGGTGTGGTGTTGTAAGCGTTGCACCATTTTTGGCTTCAGGAGAGTCTTCAAGATGCCAATGAACGTGTCTATTAATTTTGAATTCGACACTAAATGTATTCCTTTAATCCTTAGACCGTAGCATTCCTAAAAGTATAATATCTTACTAGTTTCAATCAGTTCGCTATTTATTTAAGAAAGAATAATATCATAAGAAATAGAACGTAAATAAGTACAGATGTTTTTTCACATAGTTATATCTAAATCCTAAAAAACAAAATAGACAAAAATGGCGTTCGTCTTTATAGCATAGAATAGTTCTTGACATATTGTCTAATGACAGACAGACAAAGTATTAGTGTAAGGGTTCCTTTGTGTACGGAACCTTAGAGATAAAACTACCTAGAGAAAAAAATGACAAAAATTTACGACGCGGACAGGAGTTAACCGTTGATCTGTGTATTGGTTAGAGCAACAGCACGGAACGCTGTGGATGTCGTTTCAAGTCCTGCCTGTGTCGTATTCATTTGTTTCATTCTAAAAATGATTTTTTAATTTATACTCGTATAATGCCGTTTTAGAAACTTACAACTATTAATGTAAGCACTTGTCGCAACTCCATTGGGTTCATGTATCCCACCAAATCGGAAATATTCGCCTTCCTTATATCCACAACGCACTGATAGCTGGTTATATAATCGTGTTCTTTCATATAATCTCCAAGCTGTAAAGAACATATACAGTATATGAGTCCATGTTTATATATTATGTTATATTATAACTTAAATTTTCAATTAAAACACTTTTAACGATTTGAAACGACATTCGTAAACTTATTTATTATTATTATCTACGACCCGACATATTAGAATGGCCCTATGCAAAACGACGAATTGTAAAAAAGTTTGGTGAAATATGTTGTGTTTAAAACTGTCAGAAGTGTTTTACTCCTTACGCAAACTTTGTCTGTAGTTTGCGTTAGGATACTTATATATTTTATAAAGTTTAAGGACTAAGATTAAGAGAAATTAGAAAAACAGTTTAAATGTAAGGTCTGATAAATAGTTTTACAGACCTTACATTCACTTACTCAATAGAATGTAATTGATTTCCACCGGAATTCGAACCCCGGTCGTGATCACTATTCATCAAGAAACGAGGCAGGAGCTTATTTTTAGGAATTAAAAGACATTCTTGCAATTTTCTTCTTTCTTACTTTTATTTTCCTAATTTTTAATACTGTCTGTAGTTACGCAAGTAGTACACATTTAAATAAAACACTATAACAGTTTAAAACGCGAAATGTATTAGCTAATTTGTTTGACAATTATTTAATCAAGGCCCGACATTATACGCGTGCTTTGTAGTAAGTCCCGGGGAGAGTAAAAATGTCTGTGACGCCAAAGTAGAAACTGCCGCGCTAGCGCCATCTGTCCTTGACAGATTGACTAGCGGTGTTTTCACGTTTGCCGATATGCTGTTTCTTGGAATCCACACTTTTTAATACCCAGATGTAATAGATGTTTGAAAGCTTGAGGCCTATTGAAATTTTTTTTTTTCCTATTTCCGTTTTTTTTTTGAGAAAAATTTGAATTTTTTGGTTGGTCAAAGCGAATGATAAAAAAATATTTTCGAACAAGTTTAACTAATATTTGGCGTTTTAAACCGTTAAAGTGTTTTTCATTGTGTCATTTAAATTCTTACTTAATTTTATTTGTATAACATCAATTCAACTTACGACGAATCCGAATCTGTAGAAGTCAAGAAACTGCGAAGAGCTGGTAACTGGACCATGGACTTGGAGAACGTATATTCGTTGATTCAGCTTGTTCAGTTTTGGCATGATGACGACGCTCCTGAAAAAAGTAGTAATGTGTGTCTAACAATAATCAACAAGTCGCGGGTTCGATCCCCTCCGGGTCCAATATCGTATCAATTTATAATTTTTCCAAATGGAGTTCGTCTGGATGTTAAAAGGAAGTAGAAATATCGAAGTTCCGTCCGGGGCACGAACCACCGACCGCAGATAAAAAAGCCATCAAGTCAAACGCTTTCGCTGCATGTCTGTATTTCCGAATATACAAATTAAGTCGACAGTGCATCTTGTTTTGATGTTATATGGCTGGAATGTTTCACCTACCATCAAGTGTCCCATACTTGCCTATCGTCCTCCACCATAAAAAAATGATTAATGCGTTTACTCGACAATCTGTCAAGCTTACTAAGACGTAATAATACAAAAAACCTAACTACTGTAATTCATGTGACATTAAATACAGTACTTAATATGTTGTTTCCGTTTTTCTTAGATCATTTGCGACAAACAGTTCTCGATTTAAATAAAACACGTTAACGTTTTAAAACGCGAAATGTATTACCTAATTTGTTTGACAGTTATTTAATCAAGGCCCGACATTCTACGTGCTTTGTAGCAAGTCCCGGGGAAACTGAAAATGTCTGTGACGCCAAAGTAGAAACTGCCGCGCTAGCGCCATCTGTCCTTGACAGATTGACTAGCGGTGTCTTCACGTTTGCCGATATGCTATTTTTTGGAATCCACAGTTTGATTTTTTTTGGTTGGTCAAAGCGAATGATAAAAAAAATATTTTCGAACAAGTTTAACTAATATTTCGCGTTTTAAAGTGTTTCATTTAAATTCTAACTTCGTTTTCTTAATATAATATCAAACGCGCGGTTTAAAACGCGATATATTAGTTAAACTTATTTGGAAATGATTTTTACGGGGTCTCCCCGTGACCACGGCTGCTGCAAAGCATCCGAAACGTCGGGCCGAAGTTAAAAATCATTTCAAAATAATTTTAACTAATATATCGCGTTTTAAACCGTTAAAGTGTTTTATTTAAATGTGTACTACTCGCGTAAACTATACAGTATTCACTTCTTGATTGTATAGTTAAAGAAAAAACATATGACGTTAGAAAAATATTGTTATTAGTATAAGAGGTGTTTATACTTTTAGCAATATGTTTGAGTTTCATCGTACGAATTATAACAGAATAATCCATGTATAAAAAAACAATGTTTTTATTTACCATGATACATTTTTAAAAATTAAACCATGAAACTCACATGTTCGAAACAAATCTTTCTGTGGTGGCAAGAGAGAAGAAGGAAAGCAAAAAAAACGAACCATGATCATTGCAAATTCTCAACATTACTCAATTTAGTATTTATAAGTTTTTTGTATATGTTAAAGTTAAAAGGCCAATAAAAAGTTTAAAATTTGAATTAGATTTATATGTGAAAACATAATAAATTAAGCTTAGTGGTTAGTCCCAGCAGTGGCAATTAAAAAGGTGGATGGCGTACTTACCCAACCCCTAAAACATTTTTTATATCCTCTGGAAGATTGGTAATTCCGAAAAATTGTGGTACCAACGTCCTCATGGTACATATTTTATCAATTTGCTTCTTTGCCTGTTCTACGGAACCCTTCGCTGTAAGAATTGTAGCTTCTATGTAATGATCACCTGTGACAAGAAAATGAGTATTCAAAAATTTGTTCCCAAAATTATAGTTTTTATGTCGTAAACATCAGGCCGTAGTCAAAAATATTTTTAAATAATTTTTTCCCTTTCTCTTTTTAAACCTTTAAAAGTTTTTTTTCGTAGTTTACGCGATTAATACACATTTAAATAAAACCACTTTAAAGGTTTAAAACGCGATATATATTCCAAATTTTTTTTTTTCCAAAATTTTTTTTCTCCCCCCCAATTTTCTCACTCGTCATATCTAAAAATCATATACTTTGTCTTCGAATCTACTATGCAGCAGTTCCTTTTTGCATAACAATGTAAAACTATAAATTATATTCAAAATAAACTAGTTCTAGTCATTACTAAGAATGCCTTGACCGAACTGCGACCTGGGAAACGGCCGCCGCAGAAAATTAGGTGTTTAAGTGTATTATGATTGACACCTGTCACGTAAGTTTTGCATTCAAAAAATATTACGTCGCTGTTATAACGCTTAATGATCTTTGTAACTACGACTGTACTAATATTATAAAGAAGAAGAGTTTGTCTAATCGCGCTAATCTATTTTTGCTTGTTAGACCATTTATCGATAAAGGCTATAAAACATCAGTCTCCAATTATGGAATTGATTGGAGCGAAGAAAAAGAGGGAAACGTGGAAATAATGGGAAAAATAATCCAACTTTGAGGCTTTCGTTGCGCGCGCTGCGATTTAAGAAAGCAAAAAACTATATACTTATTAAATAATAATTCTTGTTTAAGAGATGTAAAAAATGTCCGAAAAAACGACTTTGTCCAAATAACCAGTTACGGAAAGCCGAGCCAAGTTTTTTGGCAACACGTAAATATCTTTAAAAAATTTAAACGTTAATACATGAGAGAATTGTAATTATTCGTGATTTTATACAGTTGGTTCATATTATATACTAGCTGAGCCAGCGACTTTGTCCGCGTAAAATAGTTACTTTGGGCATCAAAATTTGTTTTTGCAAACCTCCACACCAATCTATAATGTATGTATATGTACAATATATTATAGCTATTGCACACGACGTCCTTCGCGTTCCGTCGTGCTTGCAAATTAATTATAAAAGAGAGACATATAGGGTCGCGGCCATGTTTTTATATCATTTGAAGAGAAGTGCACTTTTACACGAAAAATTTCCTGTTACACATTCTTCATTCGTATTAGTCACAGCTGTACCTTGCCTAAAAATGCTCTAACTAACACAAAAAGAATTTTTCAATTCGACCCAGTAATTCTTCAGGTTATCTCTTTATCAAATTAGTATAGATTATCATTTTACCTACTATCTAGTAATTGTCCTTGATAGTTGAAATAATTGCTATTAAATTTATACTTTACTATCAAAAATCAACACACAGTCTAAAAGCTAGTAATAACTAGATATATATACATTCAAAAATTATAGAATTTAAAATAAAAATCACGGAAAAATATTTCCGTCGTTGATATTACACCTCATCTAACATTGTCAGTTACAAGGTCTATTTGCAGTTAACGAGCAAATTATAAAACGTAGAAAAGTGTTAAATGTTTGAATTGACAATATAATATTATGTCATATACCACCAAATTGTGTACGCAATTTTATCACCTCCATATGCCATAACTCAGCTCAATTTTAAACGCACCAACTTCTATTCTCAGTCAGTTTATGGTCGCTGGTCTAATGGTAGCAATGCTATAAAACGGGTCATGGATTCGAACCCCATCGTGTTTCTGTATCATTTTTATTTTTCTATGAAATGTTGGACTTTGTTTAAAAAAATATTAAATGAGTGTTATGAATATCGTAATTCCGTCTTGGTCACTAATTAACGCCCAAACAAGTTTATTCGCGTTCCGATTTTAGTTAGTAGATTCCAAATATCTAAAGCCAATATAGAACCACTCGCTTGTCGGTTCTCCTCTGTGAAAACACCTGCTAGAAATGGTTATGTTCATATAACCAATTAGTGAATGGACATGAATGTACGGACGCAGTAAAATGTCTGTCTTGATGAACATGTACAGAGAAGAGACGACCTCTTTTTTATACATCTTCAAAGGTCATATACCTACAGTAAACAAAGCTGAGGTAAAGACAAGATGAACAAAAAAGTAAGCGATTCTGTAATTACCAAGAGTATGTCAATTGACATTAAGATAAACAGGGTTTTTCCCAAACGTTGAGCATAAGCTTGTTAGAATCTACATTTTCTGTAACTAATTCGAGTAATAAAACATTTTGAACAGTTTAAAACGCGAAAAATATTATTAAAGCAATCGTAATCCACTTGTGACTAGCCTAAGACTAGTTAAATTATTAGGGTTTTAACCTTAAAAGTGTTCTATTTAATAGGATTACAAAAAATAAAGTGAAAATCCTAGTCATTTCGTATTCGTCCGAATATTTAATATTAAACATCTATTTAACGAGTACAAAGCAATTTCTCCTATATAATATATACAAGTTCGATTTTGAAGCAAATATTTCCAATAATATTCCGTATATATCATATTATTAGATACAAACCCCATATTGTGTAAAGACTTCAAAAGAAATGTATTTATTCAATGAAAATACAATTCCACGTTCCTTCTCTAATAAGTAACTATGTATGTTACCTTCAACAAACGAATGAAAAATTATGTTATTCGAAGTCAAGACCTTCACTTTACAAAAATCTTACCTAGCCACCACAATGTCACCATACAGACTGTCTCTAGTTGAACGTTTTTGCACGAAAGGTCTTTTGTTCGAATCCTCCAGGAAACAAAGCAGTTTCTTTCAGGTACAAAAAGACGACTGACTTTGACATGCAAATAGTTAATTACGATCAGTAAACGGACACAGATTTGTATTCGCCGTCTGCCCTACAAGTTCAAACAACGAAAATGGTATGTTAAAAAAATATACCCCTAATGCCCCCATTTCCTTATCTGGGGCATGGGGCAAAGATACCTCAGTATCATATCGATTTAACTTTCGCGTTTAAAACCGTTTAAAGGGTTTTATTTAAGTTATATTTAAAATACAAAAAAAAAACTAACTAGAACAAAGCCTTGTATCAATTGATATTTAATACATATTAACATACTTGTAAATAAAACACTTTAGCAGTTTAAAACGAGATATATATTAGTTACGGCCCGACGTTTCAGATGCTTTACAGCAGCCGTGGTTACGGGTTGGACGTTAAAGTGTTTTATTTAAGTCTGTATTGTGTCAATGGACAATATTAAAAATACTCACTGAAATCCTTTTTCTTCAGATGCGGCTGCTGTTGTATCCAGGTCTTCAAAATATTGACTGCTTCCTCCATTTCCCCAGGTCTGGCCAGATTAATTTCCTTTCGCATCGAATCAAGCGTGTCTGCGTTAAACTGTAATACTTCATCTTGAAGAACCGTCACCATTGTAGATAAAACGTGCTGCCGTTAATTCGGATGCCGTACGAATGAATATGTAATTGACAATGACGTTTCGGTAGCGGACGCATAAACTTAATGACGATGATTTGGTAGTTGTGTTGGTATTATTTGCTTATTAACTGACAGAAATGGTTTCGTTAAATCCGGTTGAACAATTAGTGTATAAAATGAATAAAAGGTTTGCAGCAGCCGTGCAGCAGCAGCGCAAAGCATCCGAAACATCGGGCCCAAGTTAAAAATCATTTTCAAATAAGTTTAACAAATATATCGCGTTTCAAACAGTTAAAGTGTTTTATTTAAATGTGTACTACTCGCGTAAACTATAGACCGTATTTACATTTGAATATTTAATTTTTAGTTGCCCATTGCTAAGCTATAGAGGGAGGGGTTAAGCAGGCTGTAACATCTAGTAGTGAAATCCCATTTCCCCCTTATGGGGCATGGGGCGAACATATATTTGTGTCTGTTTCACTGATCAGTTTTTTAACATCCAAGTAGTTGATCAGACTTCAGTGCCCTGCCCGACCGAAACAAATTTTTGTTTTCCTGGGATTCAAACCCAGGACCCTTCGTACATAACGCAATGCTAGGCAATACGTTTAACCATTTGGCTACAGAGGCGGCCAGTCTTTAACAGCCACGAACTCTGGGGCATTAAACGGGACAAATGTATGACATCTTGGCGTCGTCTCTAATTTTGTGATTGTTAGAAGAAATATAGGAACACCCAAATCTAGGATTAAAAGAAAAGGTGTTTATAATGAAGACCTGAATACTATGTATTATAAAAGGTTTTGCATTATAAAATAAAACTAACAATATTGCATTTTATATATTTACTAATCCATTGAGATACAATTAGAAGTAATAATATTGTTATAATAATATTGTTTTTTCACTCAGAATGTAACAATAATAGAAAAGAGTTATTCAAACTTATTAAAAGATAAAAAAATAACCTTTTACAATTTTATTAGCAGCAACTATCCTAGTTTAAAGATTTTCTTCACTCAGTGCTTTAGTTAATTCGTTGCATGTACTTTTTAAAATCACATTGTCTGTATATTAGACAAGGAAAGGTACTAGACATATATTTTTAGTGTATGCATTAAAAACAATTTTAATTAAAGTTTGGACGACCAAATAAGTTGTATTAATTATATTTTATAAATTTCTGAAAAAGATGCACGAATGACATACTACGAAGAATTTACGTTTTGTTTCATTATTTCTGTTTATCTAATTTAATCTGTTACGTCTAATAAGTATTTTTGTTGGCTATGTTGTAATAATGTTAAGCATTGTAATTTACAGATAATTATTTACTTTATCTATAGCACCACTAGCGGTTTAAAACACGTCATAGATTATTTAACTTATTTTTAACCATGGCCGATGCTTTGCAGCAGCCGTAGTCGCGGGGATTAAGTTAATTGATTAATTTCGCGTTTCAAACCGCTAATAGCGTTGTATTTTAAATGCAGTGCATGTTTTCCGTTTAAAGTTTATTTAATGTAATTCTAATCTAAACTCAGTACCCTGAATGTTCCGGGCATCCCGGCGTATTCGTCGTTAAACTTCAAGGTAGGTCGGCAAGATTCGTTTGTTGTGGCTGCATTCATTTTTCTTACGTATTCTATGAATTCCTCTTGAGATAGTGCATTTATCCAATCCTCTGGAATACAAAACAAAAATAATTGAAATTAAACGGTTAAAAGAATAGATAACGAGTCCGTTAGACTAATGGTAGCGACATATGGCTAATAATATTTTTTTTTAAACATGTTGGTCTTCGTCTGGAAGTCTGGATATTTAATGGGTGGTAGGAAAATAAAAATCCCGTGCGGGTCAAGAATCACTGTCCACACATGAAAAAGCCGTGAAGCTTAATCGGGCTTTCTTCAGTCTGTGGATTTCCGATTATCCAACGCCAAAATAGGTCGACAGCGCATTTTTTAGATGCTATAGGCTGGGATATACAACCTAACTCAGCCATATAACATTTCAACGCGATACACTTTCTATTTGGAAATCCACAGACTGAAACCAAAACTAGATTAAGCTTTGTATTTAAGGACGATGATTCTTGCCCCGGATGGAATTTCAATATTGCTTATATATCCAGATTTCTAGACGAAGTCCAACATGTTTCAAAAAGAATATCACACGTTGGACCTGCGGTGGATCCATAGATAATTAGCAATTTATTGTTACAATTATACCAATGAGCTCGTCAAAATGAAATCCAAGAATTCTAAGTCTCTTATTATGTTCTCAAATATTTTGAACCCACCGTGAATTTTGATCAATGGCTTTTCGTCGCCACCAAAGTCCTCTGGTAGAATATCCTTTCCGACAACATCGAAGAGTTCCTCTCCAGACTTGTGAACGTAGATCCGGTCCCCTACTTTCGGCTTCAGTATCTGCTTCAAAATCCCAACTAGTCCGTCGATTACTTTAGACGATGTGATCAAGTGGATTCCTTTGATTTTCATTCCGTAACCTTCCTGATATCAGAATATGAAAGATTAAACTCCATCTTGCTTAAAGCTGTGATTACTAACAGTATTTTGATAATTATAAAGACGTTTGAAACTTCGTTTCATACCGTCAGTAGTTTACGCGAGTAGTAAACAATATTTTTAACTACGGCTCGAAGTTTGCAGTAGTCTCCGAGTGACAAAGCATCCAAAACGTTGGACCCTAGTTATAATAATTTTCAAATAAGTTTAATAAATATATTTCGTGTTTTAAACCGTTAAAGTATTTTATTTAAATCCCTGTTCTTATTTGTGGGCATGACAAATTCCATGTCTGTTCGCTGATCGATTTAATTTACAATTAAGTAATAGATCAGAATTTGTAGTTTGGCTGAACAAATATTACTTTCAACTATATTATACGGTATGAAATGTTTAACAAAGCTACAAAATGGTACAATACTACGAAGGCAGTTGCTTCTACTATGTTAATACAATCCAAGATTTAGTAGGTAAAGTTGTATAAATTGAAAATCAGCTTAAATTGAAAAAAAATACCATTGAGTTAACTCAATTGGCTTTAGTTAGAGCAAAGCTATGAATGTCAGTAAAAGCCCCGATTGTGTCGTAATTTTATTTTCAACCTAAATAGATTCCTTAATTTATATAATGCCATCATGTGCATAACATGTGAAAAATAATAATGTTTTCAATGACAAAGTGTACAATTGTCATTGTACCATTCCTTTTTTACTATCGTATCATGACATCAAACATTTTTTTTATATTGAATTTACTATAGATTTCTTTCTAAGCTGTAGTTCAGAGAGTTGCTGTTATACCAAGTTTGTTTAAATCAAATAAATAAATAAACTTGTCTTGTTTCAATTTTGACTGAAAGGTCATCACAATGTCATACTTTTTCAGTTTCAGCTTTGAATAAAGGTTGATTCAGAAAGCGATTATTGAATTTAGCAGCCTTTGTCTACTATTAATAAAATCCTGTAAATAAGCAATAATATATAAAATACTCACAAGATATATAGTCAAGGCATGCCGTAGGTCCATGGGATTGAGCTTAGTTAGAAGATCCATTAGATTAATGTCTGTGAAATCCACTATAAGACGGAAACCTGTGACTATATCACAGGCTTTTAAATATTCTCCGAACTGAAAACATATTATATACATTTCATCTTTACACTAATTAACAACTAAAAAATTATCAAGCATTGCAGAGTAACAGCGCGACGTAGATTTCAACTCCTGCGTAACTTAGTGATGCAAGTGACCTTTCGTCAAACTAATTCATGCTTTTGTTTGAGTCGCCGTTCGCGTCGCCAGTCGCCAATACGATAGTTTGATATACATTTATTTCAGTCGCTTCGGCGTTTATAACGCGCGAATTCTCACATCAGCGAGTGTTACATAGTCAAGATATAGATAAGCTTATAATATATAATTATATGTCCATATTATCTTGTTAGTTCTACCACAATAACATCGTAAGATAGATACGGTACTAACGAGTCTTGTACGGTGCATTATTACATCCAACTAGCATATTCTTTAAATTGTTTTCTTACTGTTTTTCCTAGATCGCGGCACGATTGTTTGCTTTACATAAGCTTTAATTATTGGTTAAATATTGTTGTGTTATGTTATTTTAATAAACAAATTCAATAAGACAATTCAAGGAAATTAAAATTCTACTTACTCAAAAAAGTTTGAAATCGGAGTAAAAAGTGGAAAAATATCTATCTACTAAATATAAAACTGTAACTATAATAATTTGAAAAATAATAGTATTTTACTTTTTTTACGATAGTAGATGATCTACTATCATTAAAAGACATCTAAACAAGATTGTCGACTATTTTCTGGTCGAAATTTCGTCATTCCTACCGCTCAATTAATTTTCAAATTTCCAGACGAAGTCCGACATGTTTTAAAAAAACTGCAAATCCATTAGAAATATTTTAGACCCGGTGGGCAACGAACCCACGACTCGTTGATTATTAGCCCTACAGTGATACCATTTCGCCAACGAGCCCTTCAGTTTTTCTTTCCATCAAGTTGAATTTGTCAAAATATTTGTAGCATTATAAAATATCCTGCTATAACTATATACTGTTGGGTTTTACAAGCATACAATTACGCTTACCAAATAGCCGTATTTGAAGAAATTCGTGACTTGTGATGTATCTGTGACATTGTTGCAGAGTTTCGCTACAAAGACCCGTTGGTGATCCTTGGTTAGGCGTGGCAAAATTACTGGGTGACTGAAAAGTATGTTAAGGCTTAAAGAAATAGATTGAACAGTAAATTATACAGTTACTTAAGATGATATTTTAACTTGAACTTTATCTTAGTAATCGTACGTAATACTTAGTTAATCGTAGCTAAGCTGTAACTACCCACTTACACAGAATTTGGTAGACACTATCCAAAAAAGAGACACAAATACATAAAAACTACAAAAATCGGTGGGTAGAAGAACAAGATATTTCAAATGCCTAATTCATGTAACATTTTGAAATAAGATTCAATTGTTTTTCATAGAGCAGGACAAACAAATGGAGTTTGACTTAATGAAAGGAACCCCAGCAAAATAACTGACTACCTTTTTTTTAGCTTTGGATATTCGGAATACCACAGACTGAAACCGACACGGAATCAACTTCACGATTTTTTCATCCACGGACGGTAGTTCGTGACTTGGATGGAATTTTCAATATTTCTATCATCCATTAAATATTTAGATTTCTAAATGAAGTCGGAAGTTCGGAAAACGTAAAAATTAAAAAAAAGACTATGCGAATCGGACCCACGTCCCATTATTTATCAATCATAGGCTACCATTAGGCTAACGACTCAGTCAATGTGTAAATAAAGAATATTTATTCTTTAATAAAGCTATTATAACAGATATATTTTTGAATTGAATTTTTGATGTTTGGTCGCCAAAAACCATTTTTGCTCTTTTTCCAGCAAAATTCATTTAATTTAAATAGATTTTGCAATTTTATAACAGTAGTTGTCACTTTTTGGTACTCACGTCACATTGAAGACATGCTGGAAGTCCTTCTTCACGTCGTAAGTATCGAAACACTGAGGCAATAATGTACGCAAAGTGCACATTCGATCAATGAATTGTTTCGCCTTCTCAACGGAGCCCTTTCCTTCCAAAATCGACGAACGTAAGTAATCATCGTCTGAAAGTTACAGTTCAGAGTTAATCTAACGTACACACTTAGCTTTTTGTTATTGGCATATTATTGTGAAGTTCGGAATTCAAAACCGATGCAAAAATGTTAATTGCACACTAAAAAACTAACACATTTGCTAAAATCTTAAATTAGGCGTGTCTTTTTTGTGTAATTATTGTGTTACAATTTTGTAGTAACTTTCAGAAACGTAACTAATTTTCTATATATATATTTATCATGCTAATATGTTATTATCCCCTAGGATCGGTACTTAAACAATCACAATAAAGGATGGTTTATTAAATCAATTGTTTCTTTACTACCATCAACTGATAAGCCTACCTATTTTTTTGTTATTATGGGAATCTCCCGTTACCATAGCAACTACAAGTATTTAGAGCCCAGCTTCTACAGAAATTTTCATTTAGTCCTTATAAGTCTATTAGGTACATTTGTTCCTAATAGCCTTTTAAACTTAGATACGATGGAGAATAACACTTAACTGTTTAAACCACAAACTAATTATGTCTACCAATTTTTTTTTACAAAAGTTTATTTGTGTGTGTGATATCCCGTACCCCATATATGAGGATTCCTCAGACTTAGATCTTAGTCTTTTAAATTAACGAGTTTTTAACGCTAGGCAACATAGATAACAGTTAAACAACGAAGCCAATCTGAAAATATTAAATCTTATAATGAGGATGTCTACAATTTGTATTCAAGACTCCGCATTGTCTTTGAGACATGTCCCTATATCGCTTTACCATTTTGTAACGGAGACAGCGCAGGATAATAATAAATGTTGCATACCTCTGACACGGTTTCGTTGCAACATTTTTACTTTCGTAATATACTGTATCCAGAGCCCCTACTACCAGTTCACTGCATATTTAATAGTATCTTTGTACAGTCAGACAAGCATGACGTTCACATAATAGTAAGTCAAATCTTCCAGCCATATTACATCTGAAAAGGATGTTCTATCTTACCTACTATCGACCTATGTTGGGCATTTGAACCCTCGGAAATCAAATTGTCTGACACCGAAATGCGATTACACTTCACGGCCTTTTTATTTGTGGACCATGAAAAATAAAAGAAAAATAAAATTGAATTTGAAAATTTAATATAATCAACAAGTCATTACAACATTTTCTCGATAAACGATGCGTTTGTTTGTTGCGTACGTTTTTGCTTCGAGTCGACGACGCGACTCGTGGTAGGGTATAACTGGGGTTTCATTAGTATTTTCTCAACACACCTATTAACATTGTAACACTAGGTGACACCCTCTGTTTGGGCTTACGTCAATACTTAAAAATTATTTTAATATAAATTAAACTCTACACTTTATTGTTGTGTAAAATAAACAGGATTCTTTTAGGAAAGTTAGTAGTACCTACTTGACTTCCAACGCTATCTCGTATGCGAGGTACCGCGTTGGAATCCTGGGTTGGACATAATGTTACCTGGCTAATCTGGAATTTGGAACTAGGATGTGGACCCCGAGCTTCGGAAATTAAGTTTAGTCAGTGATGGTAGTCACTATTAAATTAGGGGCGGTAGACGTTGCAGTCAGCCAATCCGCACTAATACAGTGTGGTGGATTTAAGCTCTTTACATCTGGACATCAATGGCCATCCGTGGGACATGAAAAGTTTGATACGACTTTATCAGAGATCGCAGTTTTATCAAAAATGAAAATATTTTTTAAATTGTTTTCTAGCTAAAAACTGTCTGTAGTTTAGGGGAGTAGTTTAACTAATATATCGCGTTTTAAACCGTTAAAGTGTTTTATTTAAATAAGCATTTTTTAAATTATATATCACTGCTTCGTTTAATTAAAGTACCGATGCATGTAAACACATTTAAGTTTGAGTATTATTGTTTACCCAATAAGGGAATATGTATATTCTTAGAGAAAATATTTTTTTTAAATCTAAAAGTATTATTTAAACTTTACAAACTACTTTAACTTCGGCCCGACGTTTCGGTTTCGGCAATGACCGCTGTGACCACGGTCGTTAAAAGTGTTCTTTTATCATTATTTTGTGTCTAATTTATTTAAGGTCTTATGCCCTTAAAATATAGTAATTTGGTCAAATACTAGTTTATTTTTCTATTTCTATGACAGACTTTCTGTGCGTTACTTTCAAATGTATACATATTTGTTCATAATCATAATTCAAAGCGCATAGCGAATTAATTTATTTCAATGCCGATCTGAAAAAGTCGCTAAACCTTCTGTGTATAGAATAATTAATTGCGCAAGAGCAGGTATAAGAGAAATTATGAAGAAAAATATTGTAGACTTTTAATAAAATTTTAATAATCTCGTAGTGTTGAAGATCTCTCCTACGCCCATAATATCAGATTTGTTTTGGTGGTTACTTTTTCCTATGATAAAAGTAGATAGACAACCAAGTACTACTCATGAAAGGTGAAATAGTCACACCGACCTTTTTTAACTTTGGGTTCAGAAATCCACAGACATAATCCGAAACGCGATTAAACTTGACAGCTATTTCACCTGTGAACGGTGGTTTGTGACCCGGATGGAATGTCAACATTCCTACCACCCACTTAATATCTAAATATCCAGAAGGAATCCAACGTGCTTCTGAAAAATCATAAATTGATTGAGAAACAATTTGGACCAGGTGGAGATCGAACCCTCAACCCGATTGGTGATTCGTGATCTAGATAATAAAATGACATGCCTCCCAGGTCTCATGCCCATTTAATATGCAGATTTTCCAGACGAACTCCAATATGTAATAAACATGTCGGACTCGGTGGGGTTCGAACTCTCTTAAGTATTTGTTTTTTCTTGAAATAAGAAACAGATGGTCGATAATCTACTTGTTTTCGAATGAATTCGATCCGTGAAGCCATACCCAACATGCAACAACATTTGTGACCTTATTTTACGTAAAGGCCGAGAGCGATCTGGCAAGTGACATATTATCTAGTCGAGCTTTCTCATTGAAATGAAATATTTACAAATGAAAAATGTTATGGTGTCTAGTAAGTAAGTCCCTAGTAAGAAATCGAAACTCCCACCTCATTTTCAATGAACCAAAGCTTATTTTTTTGTATTGTTGTATATGTGAGGTAGAAAGTATAGTAAAAATTTAGACTGAAAAAAAAAAAGAATGTCATCCTTTTTTTTTCAACAGGATTTGAACTGGAGCGTTCCGCGCTGTTGCTATAACCAATTGAGCTACAGTGTCCTACATCATTATCGAATTCTTTCAACCTATTGATACATGCACTTCTCGTGCAAGACAACAAATTATTAAATATTAATTTTATCTAACAAGATAAAATTATTAATTCAATTTTAGATTGAATAAAATTTACAACACTGGGGGGACTCGACTCGACTCGATTGCCATCAACAGCATTTTGTCCTGCTGCACTAACCAATGAAGTTTCAAAAGAATCTATATAATTTTTGGGGCTGTTCGACCGTCATAATTGAGAAATGCTTCTCGACGTTTTCCGTCACGCACGGATGACATCATCAAGAGATGTTGCACGTTACACGTTCCTCAACCACCATCAGCAGTTTTCGCATAATCGAGAACCGCTAGCTATATTAAAATAGAAGAAAAGAGAGGTGTATGTATCAATAGATTGAAAAACCTCGACGATGACGTGTAGGACACGGTAGCTCAATTGGTTAGAGCAACACAAAACGCTATGGACACCAGTTCCTGACCGGGTCGTGATTTTTTCAAACTAAAATAGATGTTTAATTTATATAGATATTATATTAATTCCAATGTACAGTGGTTCAGACTAGGAAACGTGCACTTTATATTTGGCTTATGAAGCGGAAACGGAAAGTGAATATATAAAACTAGAAAATGCCTGCGATATCGGAGGTGAAAAACAAAAAACAATCTTTAAAATTCCGTTTAGGTAAAGCTATAGTTGTTGTATTTTTTAAATGATAATCATGTTCTTATAATAATCACAAAAGTCGAACGTCGAAATTGGATTTTTATGTTCGAGTTATGTAAAGGTCGCATCTTCTAAGCTTACGTTTTATTATGTTACCTATTAGTTTGCGCAATTAAATTATTCGGTGTTTAAGTTATGTATGTATTGATCAATAGATAAAAAAAATGTTCCAAGTTTACGCGAGTTACGCATTTAAAAAAAACAGCTTTAACGGTTCAAAACGGAAAACATATTCATATAACGTAATGTGTTTCTCTGTTTTAATTTTTGTCTGTAATATTTATAAGTAATTCAAAAGCATGTATGTTATATAACCAAATAATTAAATATAGTTTAACTACCACGAAAAGATTTTTTTTTATTAATAACATATGCCGGAATTATAGTCCAAATTTAAATAAATAATTTCGAAAACCATTTTGAAAATTAAAGAATTTACGCCGGTGCACTTGTGATGTACATAATAATCTTGTCTGTATAATATTCTATTATCTATTAGATACAGTAATAATTCACTTAGTATCATCTTTTTTTATATTAGACAGACATCACGACTTGTAAAAGTGGTGATAGGTTAAAAGAGGAGTCATACATTTCTCGAAAAACCCATAAACTTTATTCTTAATTTCATTATTCTTAGAGCAGTTTGACGCCGCTAGAGGCAAAGTAGCCTAACTGCACATTTAAAACTTGGCTTGTTTATATTTTCATACTCCAAACATGTTAATCTTCTAGAGCACAGTGACCGAATTATTAACATAATTTATACATAAATAATAGTACGAATTCATTTTCACCTAAGAATGCGTTTTATTTTTCTGTTTATTGAAGATTATGTTATTTGTTATTAGGCCACTCTGCCTCTAGCAGCTTCGTATATAAGCGAAATGAAACGAAGCCAAAGGTACTTTAAAACTTACGAAAATCAGTCCGGGTAAAATGCGGTTGCTTCTTCACCCAATCCTTTAATATCTTAATCGAATTTTCTAGTTCTCCCGGCCTATCCAGGTTGTACTCCTTCAGCGTTACTTCCAAGGTGTCTGGGTGCAGCTGCAGCACATTTTCGTACGATTTGAACTGCATCTTTCAAGATAACCACTCGCTGCGACCGCTTATTTCGCACTGATAACAGCACGATACACTTACGACACAAAATAGTATGGGATTTAATACGGATTCTATGAACAAGGAAAGTACTTGAAACTTTCAATGTTCGTAAGGCTGTTTTAACCGACGTCGAAAAAGAGAGGGTCACGATTTCGGCAGACCGGCTCTTTAGAACCAATCGTAGTGAATGTTATTAGTTATTAGTAATGATGGCTCACATAGACTAATACATTTGAAAGAAATTTAATATGACTGAATTTAAATACCTTGTATGTTAAAAACTCGGGTTTTCAAGAGTAAAAACTTTGAACTCTACTATAGCTCGTTTGTTGCAGGACTTATCCTGTATTCCAAGAGGTGTCGTTTTGAGTTCGAGTCCCATTACATTTGTTTTTTATTTCACATTTTTTTTATCCAATAGTTGTCGTTTCCGGTTCGAGACCCATTTTTACATTACATAATATAACATTATTTTTTAAGCTGTTATTTGCAATTCAATTATGTTAAATTATTTTTAACCTTTAAACAGAAAATGAAAAATAAATAAAAATACTTCACACGAAGTAACACGCATGTTGATTTATTTAAATAAATATTTTTATTATATAATTTTGAACATGTATCGAAATAAGTTCATAAACGACTAACTTACGCGTGAACATTCATAAAAAAAACATATAAATCGAACTGAGACCCTACCTTTTTGAAGTCGGTTAAAATTGTAATGATTTACTTATAAATAATTATTATCGTATTATTGATATTGCCCTGAACACTGTATTCCATTGTTCGTATGTTACAGTTAGTGGTTCGACGTATGTTCGTGTTATAAATGTTACATTACAAATAACATTAAGTACTGTCTTTAGACATACTAATATTTATATATTAGTATATCTATATAGTAATATATGTTATATATATATATAGTATAGTGTTATTATTATATGACACATTGAAAAACATATATTTATTAGGTCTCGTCCTTTTTCCTGTAATTTAATACACGGAAAAAACTTGAAAAGAGATAACTAATTTTAAACAATATATGGTCATTACAAAAATCACATTACACGTCGTTAAAAGTGCTGAAGAGTTTGTTCGTTTGTTTGAACGCGCTAATCTCAGGAACTACTGGTTCTAATTAAACAATATTTTTGTGTTGGTTAGAGCATTTATAGAGAAAGGTTATAGGCTATGATATATATTGCGTGTTATATTACTTTATTTATTATAATACCATACCTTATTTAGTAAAATCTGATACCTTAATAAAAAGAATTTAATTAGGTAACAGATTATTACATCAATCCAGTTTTGGTCCTCCATATCATTAAATTAAATTCTATAATGTCTATATGGTATATCCAAAAATATATTTTGATTTTTCCTCTATATCATAGAGGAAAAACAGACATCACTGTACCTTGTTATGTAAATTTAAATAAATAAAAAAAATGCACAATATGGTAATTGCGCCTCAAATCGTGTTACACAATAAAATTAATTTATTTCGTGCATTCACTATCGATATTTAATCTATATTCTTCAACTTCATCCTCCTTTAATCAATGTTATTATTATAAATAGTTCTGTCAATACGTAAAATTCATAAGTAGACAGACATACATATTAAGGTGACCAAGAGTGAAGAGTTTGTTTGTCTGAATGCGGTGATCTAGTGAAATTACTTAGCTCATCAGAGCTATAGGTTTCTGTAGGTATAGGTAGCTCAGTTGAAAAAATACATGTCGAATTCTCAAACTCCCGAGTTCGATTTAGTAGCGCCCAATAAGAATAGAAAACAATGTTCAGAATTTTCGTTTATTCCATAACCAATTCCTCAATGGTTGAAACCACATTTTTATAAAAACCCAACATTATATTAAATCAATCATCTTTTTCCTTTATTGTCAAACGTGTTGCCTAGCATTCAAGTCCTACTAATAGCTAGTAGAACTTAAATGCTGTAATACTAATAGCTAGTAGAAGACACGGGTGGGACATGAACTGGCATCTACATTTTAGCTACCTTGTAATGTTTTCAATCGAAAGAGATTTCATAATACAAATTATAGTAAAAAACTTATATAATATTATCACAAGGCTAGGAAAATAAATTTAATGAAAAACATACTATCTATTTAAAAAAAATACTTTTAACGGTTCTAAACACGAATTTATTTTAATAAGGGCCCGACGTTTTGCTTTCTAAAACTGTTAAAGGTGTTTTAAGGGTGTAGACCGCGCGTTTGTTAAAAAGCTCGAGTGGAACCGCGGCGAGTGGCTAGTTAAATATTTTTAAAACATTACATTATCCTGTTTCGGATAGCTTCTAAAATGACTTAATAGTCGTTATTATCAAACTAGCATCGTTTATATTCAACATAAAAAGGAACAAGTTTCGTACAAGCGGGTAAAATCAAAATTGTTGTTAATTACAAAGAATGGTTTGTATGTCAATACTTATAATATAAAAATAAATGTTGTTGGTACGGAAGATATATTTAAAAAAGTGTAGTATTCAAACAAACTTAACGGTTTGAAACGCGAAGCTGTTGTCACGGGGAAGTGCTCTCGAGATCTTGGCTGCCGCAATGCATCCACCAATCCAATAAATTAAAATTAATGTAAGTAATATATTTTGCGTTTTAAACCGTTGAAAATGATTTATTTAAATATCTGCCAGTCACTCCACCGCATTACATAAAACTGTAATGTGTTAAAAGTGTTTCCTATTTCAGATTTTTAGACCTACAAAGTACGCGAAGGTAATTGTGTAAATATTTCATTGAAATTAGTTGAACTGTTTCGGATATACAATCAGAGAAAAGCTTTAGATAAACAAATCTTTGCGTGAGTGTGTCACATTTTTATGGGGCATGGGGCATTCCTTAAATGACTAGTTAATTCAAAGAATTGTTCTGACTTCTCATTAGAGATTTATGTGGCACGCCCACTAAAAAATATTATATTTCCTCAAGCCACGACGGCAAAACAATTATAACCTATATATTTGTATGCTTTGTCAGTTCTCGTTTAGTATTTCTTTTCTTGTCTCTCATCTGTTAGTACCTCTGCAATTGTTGAATACTTGTTAACAGATAACATAAACAATAATGTCGACGAAGACCATATTCTCTTAAATAAAACACTTTAACGGTTTAAAACGCGATATATTAGTTAAAATTATGAAATTAAAAATATTTTCACATACGAGTTTAACTAATATATAGCGTTTTAAACCGTTAAAGTGTTCTATTTATATGTATACTACTCGCATAAACTATAGACAGTATTTATCATATTCTTTGTTTAAATTTGAACATTTTTTTGAATATCGAACGGAGATTACGTCATATTGTGCATCGTTTCAAGGTTGCCTAACGAATTTCTATGTAAAAAAGTTTTTCGTTATAAAGAGCTTTCAAAGTATTTAATATAAGAATTGGAAATATCTTAAATGTGATATTTAAAAATTATAAGTGCAACGAAACTGCATTCTAATATGAAGGTTTTTATTACTTCAGGTTCTTTGAACTCTTAATTGTTCCTGTTCTTTTGAGGGTTATAAGAATTCTACATTTTGTAACCAACATGACTTATACAGATTACAGATACAGTATAGCTTAATATTAATTATTATATGTCGTGGGTGGAAAAATATGATTAAGGAAATTAGCTTTCCGCTATAAGTTATTTTTTTTACAAGCCGTGAAGTTTAATCGCATTTTGGTTGGTGGATTTACGAATATTCAAAACAAAAATATTCCAACAGCGTATCATGTGTACACCTAAATTAATTACTCTCTGTAGTTTACGCGAATAGTCACAGTTACCACTTTCAACGGTTTAAAACGCGAAATATATTCGGTAAACTTTTACAACTACGACAGTACTAATGGTATTTGCTTACCAGTTCTACATTTACAATATGGACATCCTTCATGTTCAGTCCCCCCCCATAACCCCGATAGCTGCAAAGAATCCGAACGAAACGTTGGTTAGTTAAAATAAATTAGAAACAAGTTTAATTAATTAATTATTTTGCGTTTCAAACCGTTGAAATTTTGTTATTAAAGCTTGTATGTTGGCTAGGGTACTTTACCTTCTATCAAATACACCTCATGACCATCGGTCCTCCTCTGATAAAAAAGAGTTAAAAAAACATCTTTAAATAGGCGTTGTTAAGAAACAAAATAATAGTAAAAATATTTTATTGTTTATATATTTTTTTTTACAATTCCTCCAATAAATCATAATTCAATTTAAATTATATTGACCTAGTAAATTATAGCAAGTATTTAAAATCTTAAACAATATTAAGTGTTGACTTTTATATATCATGCATTCAAGCTGAGTTCTAGAACTTGAAAAATCAGCTATTCATATCACAACAATAGATTTCAAAGAAACACAGACTTAAAAAAAAATACAAAAACTTTGAGAATTGCTTTATTTTACTGATGATTTTGAATTTATTTAAAGAAAATACTTTTAACGGTTTAAAACACGAAACAAATTCTTGGACAAGATTAAAGTTTATTTAAACTACGGCCCGACGTGTCGGATGCGTTTCTCGATAGCGAGCGGACACCGTGAGTCAGTAGGGGAGTTATGGAGGGGGATTCAGGTAGTTTCTTTTAATACCGACTATGATAAAAGAGATGGCGCTAGCATAGCAGTGAATTTGACATTAGGCACACCCACCATCTTCAGTCCTCCCCTTAACAGGCTGCTCCAAAGCATTCGAAACGTCGGACCGGATTTAAAATAATTTGGGTATAAGTTAAATAATATATTTCGTGTTTTTAACCGTTAGAAACATTCTATTTAAATGTGTGCTATTAGAGTGAGAGTACAGACAACAATTATTTTTGAACTGAAGATTATAACAGCAATATGGTTTTCTGTGGGTTTGCGTGTATAATTACACTAGGCGCGTATTGTCTTTGGTTTGTGTTGACGCGTCATTAACTCAGGATTAGCTAATCCACATTTAAAGTCCTGAAGGATCCAGGCGTTCCCATGTATAGATCGTTGAATTTGTCTATATGGCGCTTAGACTCATCACTCCTTGCGCTCTTCAGTTCTTTAAGATAATCCATAAATTCATTTGAATTTACTTCGTCTATAATTTCATCTGAAATCAGAAAATTACATATATGTATAATGCTATGTTGCGGTTTTTCATGGCCCCGCGAGAATGCTCACGAGGTTAAACGTTAAAAGTGTCTATCACAAATTTTTATCAATTTCGATTAAGCTGACGATGGCAGTAACAAACATAACGAACATCTGCATTTCAGTGGCCTGAAAACGATCACTGAGAATATATAGGTATAATACTTTGTACGTGAAATTAAACATTCGTGTATTCAGGTTTAATTTTGATTATATAAAATAGGTCAAATTTTTTAGCTGTAAAAAGGATCTGGTTTTAGCTTTTAGCGACACTAAGTGCCAACGAAGAAGCGAAGCTGGCAATCGAAATTTAAATAAATCGTCAAGTGGAATTAAATACTGTCTGTGGCTTACGCGAGTATTACACATTTAAATAAAACGGTTTTACGGTTAAAAACGCGAAATATATTAGTTAAACTTTTTGAAAATTGATTTAGCAATGGCCCGATTCCGTCGTCGGGTCGTAGTTAAAATGATTATCAAATAAGTTTAAAAAATATATATTGCGCCTTTCAATCCGTTAAAACGTTTTTAAACGTAGTGCTGTTGAATAAAACAATTGAAAAATAATATTGCAAAATCCATTTTGCTGGGTTCAACGACTAGTTTCAATAAAATTTATTTTTAAGCCATACAAGTTATAGTGTTTACGGATATAAAACAATCCGTAGAATTTTCGATCGATGTCATTTTACGAAAATACGTTCACTTACGTGTAACTCCCTTGACCCTGGTTCTTTAAGCGTAGTACAAGTTTAACGTAATGACATTATTAATAATCAATTACTTCCCATTTCGTTAATTATACAGTATGTTTATATAATCTGCACATTTGGCATCTATACCAATATATAAAGCTGAAGAGTTTGTTTGTTTGAACGCGCTAATCGAAGGGTTTAGAAGAAGCGAAGATACAGCGGACACTCCCAACAAAGACGGGAGCCGAACGACAGCTCGCGCTCCCTCCGACATAAGGTTACGCTTTACAAAACTTGTATTCGTCCGATTCTCACCTACTCCAGCGTCGTGTTCGCTCACGCCGCCCCTAAAACACTCCACAGGCTCCAGGTGCTTCAGAACCGGTTCACCCGAACCGCTACTGGAGCCATCTGGTGCGTGCGGAATGCTAATCTTCACGCCGACCTCGAATTACCGACCCTCAGTCGGTACTTCAAGGAATCGTCCGAACGGTTCTTTAAAAAAGCCGCGTCGCATCCGAACCCACTGGTGGCCCGAGCCGCCAACTACACCGTTCCCGTCAATACACGCTGGAGAAGGCCGCGTAACGTTCTTACCGACCCCGACGACGATCTAACGAAAGCCGTCGATCTCCTTACCGCTTTGCGATCGGCCGACACCGGCGCCGATCGCCCGCAAAACCGCCTACGCCGGCGTAGGCGAGGTCACTCGCTACGCGTACCGCTCACCCGGGTGAGCTTCCGTCCAGCTCTTCAAGCTCCCACCCTCATTGCGGCGGTCCAAGCCGAGGCCGATGCCCCCCCCGGGGCACCCTTGGTCTAGTCGCAAACACGGCGAGCGCTAACGCGCTCGCCCAAAACGTCCGGTTAGTATTTGTGGCTCCATAGGAACACAATACGTAATAATCAATCCAAAAAAAAAAAAAAAAAAAAAAAAAAAAAAAAAGACAGCTCGCGAGCGTTAGGACGTGTCCTAAATTAACTATTCTACGCGGACGACGTCGCTGACTCAGCTAGTCTTAAATAAAACCTTTGTGTTATTAGCTCTATAGTATATAAATAAGTGGAAAACTATCGGGTTGAACGTTATTGAAGTTATTTTGAAATAAAAGATTTAATTAAATAATAAAGCTGTTTTTTTATATTGCATGACACTTTCTACAAAGATGCAAGAGAGCGGGAAAATGAAAAAATAAACATTTTGCATGTACTACCAACATAAGACAAGAAAGGTAAACAGTCATGTCAACCTAACATCTATGTATTGACATTGCACAGATTATCTAATAGTAATAATAAAAAAAACGCATACTTTTCACGTTAAAAACCGTTGCATTTGATGTGGTATTTTGCCCGACCGCAAAAATTTTTTTTGTTTCCCTGGGATTCGAACCCAGGAGCTCTCGAGCGTAACGCTATGCTAGGCAACCGTTTAACCATTTGGCTACAGAGGCATTCACAATATAATAAAGAGTAATGTATACAGTTTTTTACACAATTAAAATTATAATAAAAATTAAATTATATTTAATATTCGTCACTGTTATCGGGTTCATTTAATATTTATAAAAGACAATAGATATTTTAAGCGTATAAATATTAAGCGGAATTTATTTTAATTTTATTTCTTAATTATAAATTACTTTTAAACTAAGTATTCTTATTATCAACGAAATAAAACAGATTCTTTTTTTCAAAGTTATTTTTCGAATTTTGGGATTTTTTTTTGTAAAAAAAGCTAGGTAAATTAAAAAAATATATAATTAAGTAAAGAAATCTTAAATCTTATATATATTAACTAACAAAACAATACAAATTGAAGTTAACGGAACACTTCAAAAGAGTGTTGATTCGCTTCTGGCCGGTTCATTTAAAATTAACATGTCTAATGTTTATTTCTTGTAATATACTTATCATAGACTCATTTATTAAATACTAGCTGAGCCAGCGACTTTGTCCGCGTAGAATGTATATGTCGTGCATTCAAATTCGTCTTGCCATCCCTTTATCTTTATAAACTTAAGCTGTTGCCCACGACTCCGGCGCGTCCCTTCCCGTCGTTCTTCCGAGTTAATCTCAGAAGAGGGACTTATAGCGTCGCGGACTTTTTTAGATAATTTAAAGAGGAATCATTCTTTCATATATATGTTTTGGGTAGCTTGGACCGTTTTTGCAGCGTACGCCTCGGAAACCCATAATGATGAATAATTTTCCCAACCTTTTCACATCTCTCGCTGTATCTTTGCTTGTATTAGTCACAGGGCGATTTCCTTGCCTTCCTCGATAATTAATGTTCTAATCAACACATAAATCATTTTTCAATTAGAACCGCTAGTTCCTGAGATTAGCGAGTTCAAACAAACAAACACTTCAGATATAAAGCTGATTAATATAGATAGAATATACTAGATTTAAGCTTAATTTGCATATCGTTTCCGTGTGCCCAAACAGTGTCTTTCTCACGACTCTCCACAAGGACGACAAGTTGGCAAATCGTGTGTGGGTATAAATGACATAAGGTGAAATAAGCTTAATGCAAAAAGCATTTTTTGTTCCCGCCTTGCAAAAGTAAATCACTGATCTTTGGTTAGAAAAACCGTTTGAAAACTTTAATATTTTGCACATCATGAAATAAGAAATTAATTATAAATTGAAAAATTTACAACTCGGGCAAAATTTGATGGGGCATCGCGATGTTGCTTTAACCAATTGAGCTACCGAGCCAGAGAGTTATGGAAAAACGTGTTAATGACAGAGGAGTACAGACAGGTGTGGGGACACTTATGAAGGGTAAAATACATCAGTCATATAACGTCGAAGATGCTGACGACCCATTGCTTTCAAAAGTGCTAAAACCGAACGCGTGCTTAATGGCTTTTCCACCTGTGGTGGTTCGTGAGCCGTGACAAGAGGGGAATATTCCAGAATCTAGATTGATTCATTGCAACATAGGACTGTTGGGAACGAAACCTACAATCCGTTAGATATTAGCTATTATAGAAGATACTGCCGTATCAAATATGTTTGGAAATTAATTTCCTTATTTATAATTTTTGCACTAAACTTAACAATTTAGCAATATAATTATTAAATGCTTGAAGGCTGAGTGTGGAAATTTCCAAATAATTCTACGCAGTAGTTTTTGGTTAGTCCTCGTTAAATATAGAGAGCGATAAGCAATATTTTTGAAGCTGATAGACGCCTCAAAGACGTAGTTGAAGGTAATCGGCAAATAACAATACCTGAGAATTATTTGAGATTAAACTTATCAAATTCAATTGCTTATGAACACTAAAAACGCTTGGGATTTTCATCGAAGCTATATGAGTATAAAAAAAACAAATTACTTTCCGAAACACGTACGTACGTGTACGTACGTACGTGTTTCGGTGTACGTGTGTACTTTCCGTACACATTCAAATAAAACACTTTAACAGTTTAAATAAAACACTTTAACGATTTAAAACGCGATATATTAGTTAAACTTATTTGAAAATGATTTTTAACTTCGCCCCGACGCTTCGGATGCTTTGCAGCAGCCGTCGTCACGGGTCTCCCCGTGACCACGGCTACTCGGCACTTACTAGTCGCGAAAGAATAGACAGTATTTACTTTAACAGTTTAAAACGCAAAATAGTTAATCTTGTTTATTTATTACTTTTAACTAAGGCCCGACTTCTCGGAACCTTTGTAGCAGCTGAGGTGTCTCCCAATTCACCATGGCTGTTTTTAACTATTAAAGTATTTTATCTATACCCAATACATACCATGCAACTTTTGCGCTGATCTCTCTTTCCCGCCATATTCTTCTGGTAATATGTCTAATGGGGCTATATGTTCCCCCAAAGAACTCACATTGTTATGCACGAAAATTCTCTTCGCAAGTTTTTCACTCATCACCTGTTTCATCATCGTTACTATCGCATCGATAGCCTTCGATGGTGTAATAAAGTGGAGACCTTTGAGCCTTAAACTGTAGCCTTCCTGAAAACATTTTTTAATTACCTTAGCTGAAGAGTTTGTAATAGAAAAATCATACGATGTTAAAATATACCTATCACCGACAAGATTTAAGAAGTAATTTTTGGGGATTTAATATTCTGTGTATATTAATTAACGATTTATCATATGCACAAACAAGAAAAAGCACTATAAGATGCGCGAGCGCAAAAGTAGTGCAGTTTTTAGGGCTTGAGGTGTTTAAAGAGAAAAACTAAACCAGTATATATAAGATAAAAAATGCACAACTATCACACACGCAATATTCGAACTAAAGAAGTTTCTTTATTAAATAACACTTTTAAATAATAATTATAAATAATATTTCTAGTATTCTAGTCTTAATAATCGGCAACCATATAAGTCTATGATAAATATATGATTACGTCCATTTTACTCACCAATTTTATTAACAGGCGAGTAAGGGATCGAAATTTTACGTAATTTATCCCCGGGGATTCAAACCCGACATTGTCTTATTTAATTTTTATAACTAAGCTACAAGGTCGCAGGAGTATTATATGTTAGCGTACTTTAAAACACGTGCTAGACAAATGTGTTAAAAAACATAATATACTTTGACCGACATGTTTCTAATGTATTCATAATTTTCCAATTCAATGTATTTTTTCTATAACATTTTGGACTTTGTCTGGTTACTTGAATATTAAATGGGTGGTAGGTATATCGAGTATATCTACAGCTACGATAGGCCGACAGCGCATCTTGTTAAGATGTTATGTAAGTTGAGTATTGTATATTCCATCAAATGAACCCCAGGCTGACCTCCTCTGTCATAAAAGGTGAAGTTCAAGTAGTACACATTTAAATAGAACACTTTAACGGTTTAAAACGCGATATATATTAGTTAAACTTATTTAGAAATTATGTTTACTACCGCCCGAAGTTTAACTAATATATATCGCGTTTTAAACCGTTACAGTGTTCTATTTAAATGTGTCCTACTCGCGTAAACTTCAGACAGTAAGTAATTCTGGTATTAAAAGACTAATGAACGTACGTACCTACATAATCAGATATAGTTTGGAAAATTACCGTGATAATCGCCACAACTTGTCGCAACTCCACTAGATTCAAGGCCTTAATGATTTCCAGAACATTCGCTTTGCGGTAATCAAAGACAGCCATCACACCGTTACAATAGTCGTGAGATTGGAAATATTCGCACATCTGAAAAAAAATACATCTTCAACTAATTATAAATAAAGAATTTGACTAGGAAAAGACAATACAATTTAACTAAATTGTTTTAACCGGGAATCGTACAATTACGCCGTTATTATTTCACTATAAGAATAATTTCGGATTAAACCTATAGTCAATATGAAATGAAAGAATACCGTGAATTTTTTATTAAAATTCAATGTAATTTGGGACATCCTACATATTTATCCTAATCGTTTTAAGTTAAGTAGAAGGATTAGATTTTTTTTTATTTAGAAATTTTAATTTATATAATGCCATCATTTGCAATAACGTATGTAAAATATTAAAATTTACAAATAATATTATATATATATATATATTGCATTATTTCGTTGGCTTCTGCCGGTAAAATTTGGTAAAATATGAGATGAGTCCATCATATGCCTCTTAAGAGGTTTTCATATCGAAAAAAAATTAAGAAAAGATAAATTGATAAATATTCTAAAATATAGATGCTACTTATCAATAACTAGCTGTGTCAGCGACTTCGTCCGCGTAGAATTGTTATTTTGGGGATCACTTCGTGGCGGACATTTTTTAGATCATTTAAAGAAATCATTCTTTCATACATATTTCTGGGTATCTTAAACCGTTTTCGCAGCGTTTGCATCTGAAACCCACAGAGATGAAAAAAATTCTTCGTTTTGTTCACATTTCCCGCTGTAGCTTCGCTTCTATTAATTACTGCGCGATGTTTTATGTTAGCCTATAGCCTTCCTTGGTAAATTTCCTAACCGACACAAAAGGAATCCGAACCCGTAGTTCCTGAGATTAGCGCGTCCAAACAAACAAACAAACTCTTCAGCTTTATATATTAGTATAGCCACATAGTTTTTTTGTTTGTATCATTCATTAATAACGATGACCTTCACGAACAAAACAAACGGAACAAAAACGTTTGTGCTTAAATAACTTCTTACTTCGCTAATCTATACTAATATATTAAGCTGAAAAGTTTGTTTGTTCAAACGCGCTGATCTCAGAAACTAGTGGTTCGAATTAAAAAATATTTTTGTGTTGGTTAGAGGATTTATCTCGAGGCTATCGAGGCTATACGTACAAAACATCGAACTGCGACTAATAGGAACAGAAGAAATGTGAAAAGGAACGGAGAAAATTATGATCTAGTGAGTTTCCAGAATACGGGGAAAATGGTGTAACTAAACAATGATTCTTTTTTAATGATGTACGAAAATCGTAAGCGACATAAGTCTATAACTTCGAGGGAAAAATAAATTGGTGTTAACACAGGTAACAGTTAAATTTATAAAGATGAGATGGTTGTCATAAACAAATTTGGATGTTCAAAATGACTATTCTATGCGGACAAAGTCGCTGACACAGCTAGTAGGAGTACATTTATAACTTTTACTGTTTCTTGTCGTCGGAATTAATAATAATTAACAAGATAGAGGTTCGCGGTCGGTTGATCGATCCGCAGTCATGCACAAAAAAATATTTTAGGCAGGTGAGGAAACCGGAACGGCCAGAAGTTTTATCATGTCCTAATACACATTTGGCCAGCGTAATATTTTGAGTCTTTTGTCCTCCTCTAATTGCGCTACTAATAATTTTAATTAAGACCAATTGAAGATAGGATTGACAATAATGTATTGTTATTTAAATAAAACACTTTAACGGTTTAAACGCGATATATATTAAACTTAAGAAAATAATGGGTCGCGGCTGCCGCAAAGCATCTAAAATGTCGGGTCGTAGTTAAAATAATCTCGCGTAAACTACTGATAATTTGTATTTAGTTGGAAAAAAATATAGACTATAGTTATGGTCAATATTTGTACTTTTAATTTGATATTTGTGTATGTTTTAACTGTGTTACAGTTAGTCTAACTGTAACATCTTTAAGAGCATTTGAAAGAAATCGTTAGTTTCTAATGTGGGAATACAGAATACCGCAATAACGATCTTTTTATTTCACCCACTTTTAATGATATTTTAGAAAACTCTGAAGTCACGTGACATTAAACTAGTTTTAATGATGTATGATAAAACCTTCAAGCTTTATTTTGACCACCATTAGAGTCTTTGTTTGGTCAATAGTAAAAAGTGGATGTAAAACTAAAAACTATAAACAGTGACTTGATTTCAAGAAGCCGTGACGTCATTAGGTCACTACGATGTTACTGTTTTTGATGACCTTGGGACCAGACATTTACAACTTAAACTTTTAAAGTGTGTTTAATATAATCTATCAGCAGTATAACTTAGTAAACTGTGCGCGCGCGCAGAGTGCACCTGAAAGTTATTTACAATAATTTTACGTTTAACATTGAGGTCACTTCGTATATATTTTTTATATTAAAACATAATTTTCACATACCACGAGCAGGAACTTAAAGTAGTTAAGGAAACTAGACTGCTTTCCGCAGTTCTGCAAGATGTAAACTCGGTAATTGTCTTCAGTCAGCTTGGGAACAATAAAATCAATTCTGGAATAGTGAGATATAATATGTTATTACACGAATATATTTCGTTAAACCGTTCACTTAAAAACACAATCAAGACTTAATTCGTTTACATTTGATTATTTAAATTAAAGTTCTATTATAAATTGAAAATATTGACGACTCGGGCAGGATTTGAACATATGTCATTTCGGTTTCATCACAGTAAATAAACCGTTCAACGTGTTTAATTTTTAAACAAAAACATTATTGAGAGACTTGAAATAACCAAATATAAATCAAATCAAGTAGTGTATGTCTGTCTGTGGGCAAACACGTTTTTGTGTGTCTTTATATTGGTATAGCCAGGGTTTGAGACTTTCCTCCGCCAGAAAAACCAAAAAAAAAAACTATCAAAACAAACGCGGAATTAGAGTATTTGAATTTGTTTTATCGTAGGCAGAGCCACTTCAGAAGTGATGGTAGAAGAAAAAAAAAAAAAGGTGGAAAAACCACGGCGGAGAAAAAAAACCCCTGTTCTCTAATTTGAATACAGGACTTTCAGATTCTAGTTTTAAAACATCTACAATAAGAGTCAATCAAATGCATCAAGCAAGTTTAATCGCATTTCGGTTTCAGGTTTTGTAAATTAGTTATGGCGGGATATTTCAAGTTCCCATGCTTGTCTGTGCTCCACTATCATAAAAATGTGATAGTTTAACTCCGTCAATGTACTTAGATAGTAATAATTAGTCTATACTAACATATAAAGCTGAAGAGTTTGTTTGTTTGTTTTTAAAGCGCGTTAACCGTAGTCCTTAGAACTACGGATTCAAATTGAAAAATAATTGTTGTGTTGGTTAGAACATTATTGGAGGAGGAGGCTAACATAAAACATCGCGCTATGACTAATAGAAGCGGAGATACAGCGGGAAATGATAACAAAACGGGGGATTTTTTTCATCTCTGTGGGTTTCAGATGCGAATGCTGCGATAACGGTTCAAGATACCCAAAAAATATGTATGAAAGAATGATTTCTCTTTATATGACCTAACAAAACTACCGCGATCTTTTATGGTTATCTTGCTAGAACGACGGGTCGCGAGCGACGGGACTTGACCGATGTCTTAATTAGCTGCCCACGACATCGGCCACGTCCCGTCGCTCGCGCTTAAATAATTTTTTAAAGATGTAGAGGTTTTCCATAAACAAATTTAGATGCCTAAATAACTATTCTACGCAGACGAAGTCACTGACACAGGGAAGAAGGGCAAATAAAATAAGTATTCCAGTTCGAATATCACTAAAGAGAGTCGTTTTCATTACTTGTGGTTAATCACAGTGTCATAACGTTTATTTATTTGTGTACTTACATTTCTCCATTATATTCCTTTAACAACTCTTTGACGTCTCCCACAAAAAAACATTTCCGGCATCAGAGTCCTGAATGTGCATGTTTTGTCCAATTTCTTCTTAGCTTTTTCTACTGAACCCTTGCTGATGATAATGGAACGTTCCAGATACTCCCGGGCTGGAATACAATTACCAATTGTAGGTAGTTTGGAATTGCTTATTGCTTATAAATCTTCGAACAAGGGCTTGTTGAAACTTTTTTTAAGTCTTAAGGGATTTTTTTTCTACTTCGCTGTTTGTAAGTAACTATTCCTTAAGAACCGCTCTAAGTAGAGACTAGAAATAACAATAACAAAAAATATGTGATAAATTTTGGTGACTCAAGTGTGTTTTTTTTAATATTTTGGAATGTTTTGGGAATAATTTTGAAAAAATGTCTTTAACTATAGGTTTAAAGTACTATTATTTATGTTTTATATATATTGTATTGTTACAATTCAAATAACATTGCTCAATTAAGTCATAGTTTACAAATGCGTTTGCGCAGCTTATCACTTTTCTTTTTATTTAACTTCTTTTACATTATAATTTTATTTTACAATAATTCAACCGGTAAAGAAACCGTCTGTCGGTTTATGCGAACTTCATCGGTTTTAGCATTAAACTTTTTGCTTATACGGGATTATAACAAGAAATAGGTTTTTTTAACTGTATTGAAACTCGTAAACAGTGGCTAAACGAGTATTTTAAGCACAAGTTATCACAAAACTTAAGCGCTATGACGTCAATATTTACGTAAAAGTGTTTTTTGTTGTTGCTTTTAATAATTTGTTCTATTTACCTATCTTAGTCTTTTTGACAAGTCTCTTTACTTATTTAGTATTTTGAGACTTATAAAAACAGTAAAATTTTAAATTAATGTATATCAATTTACATTAAAAATTAAATGTGGATGGAACTTACTCTGCCAAGAATTTTTCATAGATACATAAAACTTAAAGGGTGTATGTAATGTTGGTATACCAACAAGCTATCCCGAAATTCTAGCCGTTTTGGTTGGAAAGTGTGTAAGGGTTATGGCTAGGTACTATTCTGTCCTATTTAAAACTCGAAAAAAGTCTAATCGAACACAAAGATGTATAATCGAATTGAATGATCGTCAATCTTTTTGTTCTAAATTATTATTATCTATAATAATATGTAAAGCTGAAGAGATTGTTTAGTTGTTTGATCACGCTAATGTCGAGAAGTATTGGTTCGAATAGGAGTTATTTTTGTTAGTTAGTGCATTTATCAAGGAAGGCTTATAGGCTATAAAACATCACCATTCGACTAATAGGAGCGAAACAGCAGAAAAAGTGGAAAAAACTGGGAAAATTAATCTGTCGGTAGGATTCCGATACGTACGCTGCGAAAACGGTTCGAATACTAAACAAATATGTATCAAAGAAATATTCCTCTTTAAATGATGAAAGAAAACGTTACAACACTATATACTATACCGGGCACGACCGACGTCGTGGGTAACAGCATACCTATATTTATAAATATGAACATGACGTCTGAAAAACCCAAATTTGGATGTCCAAAATAACTAAGTATTCTACGCGGACGAAGTCGCTGAAACAGCTAGTTAACAATAATCTGCAATTAAAAAATAATTTCTAAGGGCAAAACTCGAACCTACAAAGTATAGCATAACGTAACCGTTGCTCTACCTACAGAGCCAACGTGTTCGTGAGTTCGAATCCCGCCAGCTATATTATTTTTGTCAAACTATTAAATTTAGTTCTTTACATGTTACAGTTATGTACCTATATGTTAATAGAAAATTAGCCGTAATTATTTACACTCTCTATGCCAGTACGACTTTGGTAGGCGTCGTTATATTTATTAAGTCCGACAAGTTATGCTAATTAGATGAATGATCATAAATGTTGTATATTGTAAGCGAAAAATTCCCTCGCAATAAACCTCTCGTGGGATTTTTAATAATAATTAATTTTATTGAACTCAGAGCACGAATCACATTTTGTACTGCGAAATTACTGTGCGTTTAACCGACTGAAAAGGTGCCTATTTTATTAAATGCTGTTAAAAATCAATAATAAATTGAAAAAGTTTACGACTCGGGCAGGACTTGAATCGGCATCCTCAGCAACAACACGGAACGCTGACGATGCCGGAAAAATAAAATACCGTCTGTAATTTACGCGAGTAGTAGGTACACATTTAATTAATCCACTTTAACGGGTTAAAACGCGATATATATTACTTATTTATAAAAAAAATATTTTAACTACGTCCCCTCGTTTCGGTTGCTTTGCAGCAGCCGTGGTCACGGGGAGTTACCGCATACAAAATATCGCGTTTGACACTTCAAACACTTTTGACGGTGAACGGGAAATATATTAGTTAACTAGTTTTAATTTAATACTAGCTACTATTGACTATGCTCCGACGTTTCCACGTTTTAAAAAAATTAAAACCGTTAAATTTGTATAAATTCGTACTAAGCGTAAATTACAAACAATATCTATGAACAGTTCGGATATAACAAACTGTTGTAGTAATGTTTCCTGTTCCATAAATTAATGCTAGAAGACCTGTGGAAAAGTACTGAAAAAAAATATTATCTAAGAACTGCCGTTACGTGCGTTTCGAAACGGTTGAAGAAAACAAAAAATCTTTATGAATAATTGATTCTTTCTTAATGACCTAAAAAAATCCTCAACAGTTCAATTTTAAAATGAACTCGCAAGAACCAAAGTGATGATCAAACTTGGTTGAAATTAATGTATTATTACAAAATATTTGTTATAGTATCAATGTAATAGTTTTAATCTTGTAAATAACAAAATATTTGTCGGAACAGCTAGAGTTACTATAAGTGCCTCTAGCGTATCAACTTCGTGAATAAGCAATGGAAAAAAATTACATTACAACTTGACTATAATATAAGTCTGCTAGAGGCAGAGTGGCCTAATAAAAAAACCATGATTTAGAAAATTAATTTGTACTATTATTTTAATAAGAATTATGTTTAAATAAAACACTTTAACGGTTTAAAAAGTGATGTATTAGTTAAACTTATTTGGAAACGATTTTTAACTTCTGCCCGACGTTTCGTAAGTTTAACTAATACATAGCGTTTTAAACCGTTAAAGTGTTTTATTTAAATGTGTACTACTCGCGTAAACTATAGACAGTATTTAAGAATGATGTTTACAATTTTTTGTCACTGTGCTTTGCACTGCATTTTTAGACAATAGTAATTTAAATAAGTCAAGTTATAAAATAGCAGTTAGGTTACTTTGCCTCATGTACTTTAGTCGGTGTTCCAAATGACAAGACGCAAACTCAAGTCTTATTATATCAATAGGCAGACTTACAGAAATCTTTTTTTGTCAAGTGGTCCTGCTTTTGGAGCCACTGTTCCAAAATATCGATGGCTTCGTTCATCAGTTTTGGTGTCCCATAGTTGTATTGCTCGCGCAGAGCACTCAAAGTGTTCGGGTTGAATTCTAAACAACGAGTTTTCGGTAGTGCCTCCATTGTTAAATTTGTAGCTGTGTCTACGGCGACTCGGTCTCAACTGAGCCTCGAAGAGTTGTTCATATTTACAAAGTGAGCGCGATGATCTTAATCTACACTAATATATAAAGCTAAAGATTTTGTTTGTGTGTTTGTTTGAGCGCGCTAATCTCAGGAACTACGGGTTCGAATTGAAAAATTATTTTTGTATGAGTTAGAACATTTATCGAGGAAGACTATAGGCCATAAACGACCCTTTGACTAATATAAGCGAAGATACAGCGAGAAATGTGAAAAAAATTGGGAATATTTTATTTATTTATTTTTATTTATTAACTAAGGAAACTAAACAGTACAGTCTCTTATGATAACTTAAAACTAATTTTCTTATTGTCTAGGGAAAAATAAAATTTTATAAAATTTATTATCTTTAATTTTATAAAATAAATTATCCATCATTATGGGTTTCCGAGGCGTACGCTGCAAAAACGTTTCAAGCTACCCTTAAAATATGTATAAAAGAACGATTCCTTTTTAAATTATCTAAAAAATGTCCGGAGTGCTATATGTATATCTCTTAAGATTAACTCGCAAGAACGAGGAGAACCGAATGACGGGACGCGACGAATAGTAAAGGTTAGGACAGTTTGCAAGAACAATTTTGGTTGCCCAGAATAACTTTTCTACGCGGACGAAGTCGCTGACTCAGCTAGTATACTAATAATTGTAGTCGCGTTTTGCACTTGGCTTCGCATGTGTAACGATATATTTTTATAATAGTTAAACACAAGCATGGGATTCATTTGATGGAAGGTGAAACATATAACATCTACACAAGATGCGCAGACGACTATTTGTGCTTTGTATATTCAAATATTCACAGACTGAAACCTGACTGACTGAAACTACACTGCTTTTTCATCTGGGGACCCGACGTGATTTTAATATTTTTTTATAAATAATGTTTCCTGCTTAGATTTTTTTTTTTGTAAATATACACTTTTGTGCCCAATTTTTTTAGAATCAGTCAAACCGCCTAGATGTGAAAGAATTATACATCTTCATACGTGGTAATTGTTTATGAAGAATCACTGTTGTTTACTATTTTTAATCGATATTAAATTACTGACACAGTATCGTATTATAATAACCATGATTAGATTCAATGTCAATATACATATGTATTATATAAAGTTATGATGTTGTGGATATATTGAAAATGGACATAATACAAAACAACTAGCTTTAATATTACAAACAGCTTTAACAAATCGCTTTGATGTGTAACATGTTATTCTCGCCCCTGGTTTTAGAAAGCGCATTTTTGTTCGATGTAAATATATATTTTTTTAGTACGGGGTTATACTACTTCTACTAAGAATATGACCATGCTAATAACATTAAAAAAAAGATTATAGCATTTCGAACGTGAATATACAAAAGTCTGAAACCGAAACGCGCAATGATGGCTCAATGTGCTTATAAACAAAAAAATCCTTTATTGCTGTTTTATATTTACATAACAATAGGTTTTACTAACTAATAGTTATAATATATTAACTCCAACTATGCATTATTATATTATGTGCTTACTTAGTATTTAAACTTGTGTTTTGTTTTTAACAGCTTGTCCTTCGACAATGGCGTATTCCAAAATCCGTTAACATGCTTACCTGTCTCTTGCTACTCCATCCATGCTGTCCATCTTGTGCCAGCCATTTTTTTGAGGTCATCTCCCCAACGCTTAACATGGTGCCATGGACTCCTTTTTGGTTCCTCTAGGATACAATTCACTTATAATTTGCGTCCATTTCTTTCTCTCAATATTTTTACCATCCATTAATTGTCCAGATTATCCACATGGGTCTAAAGCGTTTATAATATCACACATCCGGCCAAGAAACTCTAAAAAGTATATTAACAGCCTTTTTTGGTTACGACAGAAATTGCAAACGCGCTACAACATGTGTTTTATTGGTTTTACTGGCACGCCTTGGCATACTTTAAAAAAAATTTGCGACAAGTATACAACAGAATTTTTAACAATCCAAGCTATTTAATCAGTTGAATTACGCCATAGTCGTAGATCAATTATTATGTGTTTTAAACCATTCAATGTGCTATGTATATGTTTTTTCTGGTTTTAAGTTAAGTGTTAAGTACATAGTAAGCATGATTAAACTATGTTGGATCCTTCCAGGGATGCACGGTGGTTCGGGACTTTAATGATTTTTTTAATATTCCTATCCAGTATTCAGATTCTAGTAGTTCAGTATGATAAAAATATTAAGTCGTTTCAAAACATGTTGGACCACGCAGGAATCGAAACCACGTTCCATTTGTTAGATAACCGCCAATGCAGCAGAAAACTCATCAATAAGCCCATGGTGTTTTCTATTTACAATACTATACAAGTTGTTTCTGCAGTTCATAAAAGATCCAGTAGGAAATAAATCTAACAAACAATAAAATAAAACAACTTAATTTTTACAAGACTTTATTTACTGATTATTACACGATCAAGTTTCAGATCAACAGATCAACCATAAGTATAATTACAAATTTCCTATTAAACATCCTTAATAAATAAGCCACGTTTTGTTAAATACATTGTTCTATGGATATTCCCTGTTCCCTAAATTGTTTGAAATGCATTCTTGTCCTCTAAAACAGTTTAGATCAATTTTTCCCTTAAAAAATACATCAACTTCAATAACTTTTTGAAGCCAGACAGGTGCTAAGTGTAAAGAAAAATCCAATTTTTAGTCGCACATTGCCTTTTACATTTCAAATTAACTAAATTAATGATTTATGCACAATTATCAATCCACAGCCAATTTCCTAAAAGAACCTGGCATGCCTAAATATTCTTCATTGAATTTAGTTGAGCTTCTTCTGGACTCGTCCGTCACCAGTTTATCCATATTTTTTATTAATTCTCTTGTTTCTTTCGTCCTCAGTTTTTCCTTCCATTGATCTGAAACAAGAGTCGGAAATCTAGGTTAAGGGGATGACCCGGTGAAGAGAATCAGCGCTACAACGGCGACGTCAGGGCGAAACGACTATACGTTAGACATGGTAAACTTAAAGTTATCAGGTCTTTAGAACCAAAAATCGAACAACATATTTCACGTACGAACACTCATAAGGTAGCTAAGGTAGATACTAACATAATCAAAGATGTTGAAAGTGTCAATGATGAATTTGAAATTAATACTTTTTATAATAAAGACAAAGAAGAATGGAGTTCATTTCATGAAAGGTGAAAATCTCCAGCCGTATATCATCTCAACAAGATGCTGTTGACCTTGGATCCGGAAATCTACAGACTGAAACTGAAACGCGATGAACTTTTACAAGTTTTACATTCGTTTTGATAGTTTTTGATATTCATTAAACCGACAAGCCCTACTAGGTACATACTTACCGCTTAGTTTTGATAAGCAGGGTCCGTCACCGTCAAAGTCCTTTGGAAGAATTTCTTTCGGCACGTGTTTGTGCAAGTCTTCATACGAGCTGTGCACGTGGAGACGACTCGCCACCTTCTCTTTAAGCCCTTGTTTTATTAGAAACACTATTTTGTCTACGAACGGTGGTGCGTTTAGAAGGTGAATACCCTTTATTTTGGTGCCGAATCCCTCCTGAAGTTGTAAAACTTAATTTAAAGCACTTTTATGTTTAGATGAAAGAGCTCAAGTCAAGTAAATATTTAAAGCATTTAAAACGCAAAGTATTTCCTAATAATAGAGCCTCTAGTTTAGAGGAACGATGTGGTTTGAGTCATGCGTTGCAAATATTTTCAATTTACAATCGTTCTTTAAGTTACGCAGTACTATCATGTATAACATGTAAAAAACATTAAAGTTTTTCAAACAATAGTTCATTTTTATTTGACTAAAACTTATACTTAATAAGTAATAACTTTAGTATAAGTCAAAGGCATAAACTCCTGATAGTTATATTTAGCAAAGCCTTCTACAGTAGCTAGCTATTAGGTTGTGATTATTTGTGTAACTTAGACATGTTTTTCTGTGAATTCCTGTATTTAGACGTATTTACATAGAGGTATAACCACAATGTGTCTCGGATAAAACTATGATAAGGATAAGAAGCCGTCAACAGTCCGGGCTATAATCAGTTGTTTGGTGCTGGTAGTCGTTAATACCAACCCGCACTGGAAAACCATGATGGGTCTGAGATCTTTAATCCCCCCCTTCTGATAAAGGCGTTGTTTATGACGTATTAACTTTTTTTATGTCTAACTCATTTATCATTTATTAATCCAGTAAGTAATTTATTAAATACTTATTACTTGAAATAAAATCTTTGGTACAAGATTTATTAATTATTTTTGGCTCAAATAAGTAACTCACCGTACATAAAACTTCCGCCTGTTTCACAACTAAAGGATTTAACTTCGTTATTAGACCAATATGAACATTAGTTAGGTCTACAATATATCTTTCAGCCAAGCAGTAATCGTAGTGTAGTCTGTATTCGCCGACCTAGAACAAAAAAAATATGTATACAAACATACTACACATATATCCTTTAATCTGATCTTTAATCAATATATAACAACAATGTAATTGTAATTAATTACTCTCTGTAGACACAGATTTTAATAAACCCCGAAACATGCAGGCCCCCCCTTAGCCACTGCTGCTGCAAGCATCCGAAACGTCAAAGTTCCGTGTTTTAAAGCAATAAGAGTGTTTTATTTCAATGTCATCTTAATTGTCAATTCTTTTAATGTAACATGGGAAGGAGGTCGTCAAACACAAGCTGGTAGACAGGCACTAGATAAACCTATTGCGTCTTTTTATATTAATTTATAGAAGATTAATACAATAATTTTGATAGAGTAATGTATAAAAAATACATTATAAACAAAAAAACATTCGAAGTTTAACAAATAGTTATAATAAAATGTGTGTTGTATTTCAAGGGTCTGCTAATTTTTTTAAACACGTTAGATAATTTGGTAACTCCTTTGCCATCTCTGCTACAAAACTTTAGAACTCTCTACTTGACTCCGTCCGATTAGCTCCTTTCTTCACTTCTTTCAAAAGTCTTTTACATTAACATTTTCTGTCCTTATCATGTTATATATATTTTTTTGTTTTGTTGGTAAGTAATTAGTAAATTTCGCACTTCTTGCACACTGTATAGTTTTTAAAGAATCGTTAAGTTTCTTTCAACTCGGGTTGCCTGGAAAAACCAAGCGCCTTATAGTTTTAAATTGCATAGTATCTGTAGTTCTGTTTTGTGTACCCTTATAGTAATATTAGTTTTTGTGTACCCTTATAGCGATAAGGCCGTCTGGTACACTCTATAGTTTTAAATTGCATAGTATCTGTAAGTTCTGTTTTGTGTACCTAAGTGTGAAATAAATAAATAAATAATTTCATTTGAACACAAATAAGTGGTACCTGTCTCTATTTAGATTTAACCACTTTTTACTCTATATAACGTCCGAGTAGTATTAGAGGCCCCGGGCCCAATACGTTGTAACCCATCTATACGACTACACATAAAAGTTAAACATACCATAAATGCGAATCGGAAATATGTCAATAAACTAAAATTTTCCAGTCTCTCAGTTAAGAACTGTGTCACCATAACTCTGGATTGATCCACCTTGCACAATTTCGGCAGCGGCACATAAAGTCTAAGAACAATAAGTGAACATGGTTAAAGGTATAAAATATGAATAGGGCATAAATCGTAATCAATTTTTTACTGTCCCACTCTTGGCCACTGGTTTCCATTTCTAGAGGAGGTTTTAAGAGTTGAGGCACACCAGACCAGAGGGAAAATGGCAGCTAATTTCATACTCCAAGGCTTGGCAGTAATACCTTCGACTTTCCTGGGTCTGTTACTGTTTTGGATAAGAAACTTTAACCGACCCAGAGAAATACATGTCTGTTGTTTACGGGAGTAGTACACATTTAAATAAAACACTTTGACGGTTTAAAACGTGGTATATATTAGTTAAACTTATTTGGAAATTACTTTAGCGTAGCAGTTTTTTCTTTAAAATCAGAGACACCCTCCATCTTTACCACACGGCCTTATTATCCCCGTGACCACGGCGGCTGCGAGACATCAGAAACGTCTGGCCGTAGTTAAAATAATTTCCAAATTAGTTTATTTAATATATATCGCGTTTTAAATCGTAAAAGTGTTTTACTAACGATCTAGAGAACTTTGTATTTCAAAGCCAAAATAGGTCAACAGCGCATTTTGTTTAAATGCTATTATATTCTGGAGTATTTCTCCTACCATCAAGTAATTAAAAAATCCTGCTTTCAAAGCTGAGTTGTAAAAGTATTACTTAGTATTGCATTTAGCATGAGACGCCATGGGTTAGAACCCCGGGGAAAGAATACTCACGCGTAGTCCCAAACTTCTTCGAACTCCTCTACCGTCTTGTTCATGGCCAGATCTGGCATCATTCCCCTGGACGTAAACAGCTTATCAATTTTAGCCTTAGAGGCTTCCACCGATCCTCTGGACAAGATCAATATCCGCTCCAGGATATTACGATCTGAAAATTTAAAGCCTTTTCTGAAAATAGTGCATTTCATCTTTTAAACAACTACGGTAAGCGGCTTAGTTTTTGGCATTGCGTTCAATTTTATTATAATAAAATAATTATGTATAATTATAAGTTCGATTACCACTTCGACTTTTTCCAAAAACATTTTTTTCTGAAACCGGTTCAGTCGAATGTCTTTGTCTGGAAATCTGGATATTTAATTGGTGATAGGGATAATGAAATTCCGTCCAGGCCAAACCAACTTCCACGGAGGAAAAAGCCGTGAGATTAGAACACAATTCGATTTCTGCTGTCGATATCCAAAGCCAACAGCGCATCTTGTTCAGATAATACAAGGCAGGGTATTTTCTTCAACCTTTACCTTCTTATCTCTTCCATCAAGAGAAACCCATGATCGTCTGCCCTCCTCCTGATACTTGCGTAGAGGAAGTATACCCACTATTTATATGATTAGCATACATGATTATTATAAAGAAAACATAAATCAATTCCTTTTGAGGACGATACGAGCACAATTCTGTGTCTGCTTCATTGATAAATGATAGGCAAACTTCTATGCTCTGCTGAGATTCAAACCCAAAATCTCTCTTCTTTAACACAATGTTCAGAGGACAAAAATAGCATTCTGATATTTCGTTTCCCTCATGGGGCATGGGGCGAACACATTTATATGTGCGTTCACTGATTAATTGAATTTACACACAAACATGTGTGCCATGCCCAACTGAATTATTTATAGATTTTTCAAAATTTTAATCCAGGACCTCTACTGCTAAGAGAGTCATAGTACAAATTTAGTTAGAAATTCGTTTCCCTTCGTTTGTTAGAGGGTCATATTATTGGGCATATATTTATTTACAGACAAGTAGGTGATCTTATTTCTGAGTTCTGCCCGACTGAAACGTGGTTTCGCCAAGATTCACACCCATGACCTTTTGCGTTTCGCTCAAAACTAGGCAACACTGAAACTATCTAGCTACAGAGGTGGACAAAAATGGCACAATTAACCCACTTACAAGTATCAGTGAATACCTTAATAAGTAAGTGCAGCATGCGTTAGGTGTAATAAAAATTATGCAGACCTATTAGATTATGACCTCTTTGGTCAAAGCCGGAGCTGAAGGTTGAAAAACTTCTTAGTTTTTCAACCGCTATTGCCGACCAAGTCGATCGGATCCCGTGGTTGTTACTAGTTAATCTTAAACGATAGACACAGTGTCGCGTACTCTTTTCGGAATGATCCGAATAGATCCGATAAATGATTAAAGTTTTAAAAAATATTCATTTCTGTGGGTTTCCGATGCGTACGCTGCTGTAAGATACCCACAAAAAATGTTAAAGAATGATTCCTCTTCAAATGATTTAGGAAAATGCCGCTATACTATATGACTTATCTTTTAAGATAAGTCTTACAAGAACGACGGGTCGCGTGCAACGGCAAGCGACCAATGTCGTCTTCAATCTTAAATATATAAAGGATGCCTGCCGGTTCAAGCCCTGCCCGCGTCGTAATTTTTTAAATATATTATCGATTTGTAATTGATATAGTACAACTTACCCAACGCTTTCGAAGCCTCTACAAGATGATCTTGCTTCTGACACCATTCCATTATGGAATCGAGGCTTTGACTTATCCTGGTGACGTCATTGATTCCGTAGAACTCCCTCGCTTTGGTGACGTCATCCTCTGTTAATTCTATCAGCGGGTGGTTCGGTAGCGTCTCCATTCTGAAGTTTATTAGTTATAATTTATAAGATTCATATAACAAACTTTTTAGGGTAACATAAATTACAAAGTTTTACGTTCAGTCAATTTTAATTTAATAAATATTAATAATTTCATAATATTTTGAAGCCTCGGTCTTAAAAGGTGTAGGTAGGTTTTTGATTGTAATAATATTTAAATGTTTAAAACTGTAATATTTTTCACATGAGTTACGAAAGAATTAAAAATCGATTATACATTGAAAAAATACGAGACGGGCAGGTCTTGATCCACAGAGGTTTTTTATTTTTAAAGTTCCGTGCTGTTGCTCTAACCAGTTGAGCTAACTGTGCCCTTTTTTGATTTGTAATCCGTTTTTAATATTTAAATGACGTATATTACATAAGGTTACCTAACGATATATATATATACTGAATATTATCAAAAACGGTCTATTTTTTTTTACTCTTTTCTCGCTTGAAACTATCTTTCTATTGTAGATCAATTTTATTGCAATATTACAAAAATCCCTGAAAAGTTTTAAGAACAATTTGTATAACTATAACTTTGATATACAGTTAATTAAGTCAAAGCAACAGGACTTTGAAACTTAGATTAGTTATATAGTTAAAAGAATAACTATTTAAGCGTTGTAATTTCATCGATAATTATTATATGTTAGGTACGTTAAACAAAAATGTTTGTTTTAAATGTTTTGAGAAAATTTTATGACGACGCGTGGAAGACGGCCTACAACAGCACGGAACGTTGAGTCCTAGGTTTGATTCCCTCTAATCATAAACGTTTTTAGTCTAATTTAATTATGTATATAGATTTTAGTGGAAATCGCAAAAGTATTATTGAACTTTTACTTTAGCTAAAGTATATGAATAGACGTAAAGATAAGTAAAACATAAGTTAAATAAATAGATAGAGTACTATTTTGACCTTCACAATGCATATAAGTGCATCTATTATAATTTATTGACATACCTTCATGGAATATTGAATTTCCTCTTAGAATAATTATTTATAATGTACTGCAAACAGTATTTTATCATTTGAAGTTACTTTTAAATGTTTTTTGTACAATATCATTTCTATAAGCGAAACATTATCTGTAGTTTAAGCAAGTAGTACTCATTCTAATAAAACAATGTAACGGTTTAAAACAGGAAGCTTTTTATCTATAACCCTGCGTTTCTTACATCCGCAGATCCAGAACCGACCAGGGACACCAGGGCCCGCAGTCGAGTGCTATATTCATAATTGTTCTAGTCGAGGTAGCAAGATGTGGCTATATAATATTTCACGTTTTAATCCAGCTAACTTACGGTTCAAACTTACTAGCGTTTAGTTTAGACGTTTTGTAATATGGCAATATTTATTTGACATGGAAACGCGTAACAACAGATACATTAATATGCCAATAAATATAATATTATTTAAGAATACTAAAGGAGATTTACCTAAAAATAAAATCCTATGACCTTGTTGATATAAAATATTATTGAGAAACAAAATCTTACATTCTTTAAAAGGATTAACGTTTTTGTCAGTAACAAAAGGCTAATTCTTAATAAGTTTACATTATTTGTTTTTAAGATTGTTTTTTGTTTAATTTAAATTACTTACATTTCTTAATTCTTTATATCTGATAAATTTTTCCAATTAATTTAATTTGTATGTGTTAAGTTTGGATCTGAGATTGTTATTTATATATAGTCATATATAATCACCTACATGTATGTAAAACGTTTATTTCTATATTTATCCTTCTTTGTCTTTTAATAGATCTTCCACATATTTATAATATGACTGTTACCAGGAATTTAAGAGCTACATAATTTAATCTACATAATACACATATATACCTATGTATTAATATCATGAAGCTAAAGAGTTTGTTTCTTTGTTTGAACGTGCCAATCTCAGAAACTACTGAATAAATATTTTTGTGTAGGTTGATTTTTGATTTTCATGATTGAAAATTTTTAAGCTGCGATCAATAGGAGCCAAGAAACAGATGGAAATGTACAAAAAACGTGGAATATTATTCATTTTTGAGGGCCTCAGTTGCGTGCGCTACGACAATGATTAAAGAAAACAAAAAAACTATGTGTGAAAGAATTATTCCTTAAAAGAGCTAAAAAATTTCCCTGACAGTACATGTCTCTCTTTTAAGATTAACTGTCAAATACGACGGGACGCGGACAACGTCGTGGGTAACAGCTTTAATTTAGAAAACAGAGGAAGATGTACAAAAATAAATAATGTTATGCCTAAAATAACTATTTAGCCCTACACACACACCCTAACACAGCTAGTATTATATATAGTGTTATGTTCATCTAACTTCTTTTGTGACTAGGAAGTACGATTACCGAAGAAGTTCGTCCTTTATGGACAGTCTGGTACGTGCTCGGTGTAGGAAAGATCGAAATGTCCTAGACCTAAAAAATATACCACGTGACCACACATTCGGTCATTGTAATAGCCTTAAATAGACACACTAGAAGCGCAGCAGTATTAGCGGGAATATTAGTGTTTCAAAAAAATTTTTGTACACAAGTAAGATGCAACAATTAAACTTTTTTTTAATAAACTACTATTTATTTATTTATAGTTTGATAAACGTAGGCATTATAATAAACACAAAGGTATTTGAATAAAACACTTTAACGGCTTAAAACGCGATATATTAGTTAAACTTATTTGAAAATGATTTTTAACTTCGGCCCGACGTTTCGGATGCTTTGCAGCAGTCGTGGTCACGGGGAGACGTCGGGCCGAAGTTAAAAATCATTTTCGAATAAGTTTAACTAATATATCGCGTTTTAAACCGTTAAAGTGTTTTATTTAAATGTGTACTGCTCGCGTAAACTATAGACAGTATTTAACACAAAGGTAATAAGGTATCTCAAAGCTTCCTTAATACTTTAAAGGCATTTGGCCTCCATAGTAAATAGTTTCCTTCGGAAAAGGTTTTACAGAACTGACACAACAAATGTGTTGATCTGGTACCAAAGGGAAATTTTAATTTTATTTATGGTTTTCACAACATGTTATATTGCTCAGAAATAAAAATAGCGCAGTTTGTTAAACTAACAAAAAAATCCTTACACAATAAAAACATAACCATATTCGTAATATTGTTCATAATTCGTAAATTAATCGTAAGAGAGATCAAAATGTGTCTTCTTATAATTATTACAATAATAAACACTTTCGATAGTTGAAATCGCTAAATACATTAGTTAATTTATATATTTCGCATTTTAAACCGTAAATAGCGTTCCATTTAAATATGCACTAATATATACTGTCTATAGTTTACACGAGTAGTACACATTTACTACATTACATTTACAGCCGTGGTCACGGGGGATCTCCCCGAAAAGCATCCGAAACGTCGGGCCGAAGTTAAAAATCATTTTTAAATAAGTTTAACTAATATATCGCGTTTTAAACCGTTAAAGTGTTTTATTTAAATATGTACTACTATATAAATTAAAATTCGATTCTAATTTGTAAACAATTTACGGCACAGACAGAACGTGAGTATTACTAGCGAAAACTAGACACACTTAGTTGAAAAATATCTAACTCAGGAATAAAATATAAAGTGTAACACTTACCTGTTCTACACCAAGGTAACCAATAGACTGAGTTGGTATTATACAACAATTATACGTCACATTGCTTACTCACACATAGGTTACATGTTAAGGTAAAGATAAAATCATGTAGCACACACACATTTACTTTCACGGGATGCGAACCTAACACCGATCGCGAGTTTATGGAAATCCATTTTAAATACATGTTATTGTACATGAAGGCATTTAAAAATTAAAAATCTACTTTAGATTGAAAAAAAAAGAATTACAAGACGGGTAAGACGACGGGAAACAGCGTCCCGAACTCTAACCAATTTCACAGGGTTGGAGCACGAACAACAATAGTACGAAACCCTGTGGATGCTGGTTCAATTCCTTCCCGTGTTCCGTTTTTTCAATCTAAAATCGAATTTTATTTATATAAAACTAATTTTCCCTTTATGGGCATATAACAGACACCAATTTGACTCACTGGTGGATTTCAGTTGTTATTGAGTGACCTTGCTGACATTATTTTAATTCACAGTACCCAGGTGCTCTTGCACTTAAATCAACACAATGTGTTTAACCACTGAGCCGCGGAGGCATTAATACGTTATATACTAGAATAGTAAGAGGCTATTGTAAAATGAGTTTTTTAAAGCTAATTTGACAAACACAATTTAGCTTCACCAACTTGGTAACCGCGAGGCTTTTTAAAAGTACTGTACTGTTGTTTTTACATCTTTGCATAGACATTCAATTGCGTTCTTACAATGCAATATGTTTCTAGCATTGAATACTAAAGTAATAAAATTGAAAATTGATTATTGAAAGTCAATCAACGATAGTTAATTTTAAAATTATTGCAAACACAATTTCTTATTATTAATAAAAATAGTACAATAATATAATAAAATGACAGTTTTCCTACCCTTAAGAATTTCATTTCAATTCATAATTACATCTACTCTTTGTGTCAAGACGGTCTTATATGGGACTTGACTTATATTTACTAGCTGTGCCGGCGACTTCGTCCGCGCGGTATAGTCATTTTGGGAGTCAAAATGCATTTTTGTAAATAACCACCACAGCTTTATAAATTATAGCTGATACCCACGTCATCCTCCATCTCCCATGCTTGCGAGCCAACGGAAGCCCTCAAACATGAATACTTTTCCCCGTTTTTTCCACATTTCCCGCTGTTTCTTGGTTATTATCGTCGCAGCGTGATGTTCTATAGACTAAAGCCTTCTTCGATAAATCATCAAACAAACAAGTCCAACCAACACAAAGAATTTTGCAATTCGAACCAGTAGTTCCTGAGATTAGCGCGTGCAAACAAACAAATTCTTCAGATTTAAAGTATTAGTATAGAGTAAGAAAAATAATTACTTACTTAAAAGTACAGACGACTGACCCA